AGACACGAATAACTTTATTTTTATTTAAATTTAATTTTATTTCTCTTTTAAAGATACAATATTATAAACATAAAATTATATAAATATTACTACAAATCTAAATTGTACGATTATACATACTTTTTACACATCTGAACACTTTACGTGTGCGAGGCCGCACAGGTACCCGAATTTGTGTGGCCAATCGCACTTTTGATATTTTTCCGATTGCCCAATTCGGGTATTCATACCAAATTTACTAAAAAATTTAGTGTACATTTAAAATTCGGTTAAACCAAATACGTTTTTAAAACATAATATAATTTCTGTACATTAAGATTGTCAACGATCTCACTATATTGCACGAAAAGTGTAGATTTTACTAAACATAAATTATAATATGGCAGTAGTATAGTTTATTATTAAAGTTTTATTATTTATTTTTATTTTATTACTTTTTCTGGAACGAGTGCCAAAGAAATATTCAATTCGAGATGATATACATTTGGACGTGCAGTGCGTACAACATGCAGTACGATACACGAACGAAATAAAAAACAATAAAATTCTAGTTTTTACGGAGGCTGGCAATTAAATTAACATATTGAAAAAAAAATAAACTCGTTAAAAGTCAATTGCTGCCTGCCTTAATTAACTAAGTTAGTTTGAAAGTATGTACATATCTTAAAATTGAATTGATTTTAGATTCTGAAAGAAACGTGAAATGTATTGGTTTTACAGTGATATTTATTTTATTTTTGGTTTTTCCTGTGAACATTTTTACTACCGAAAATTTTGCTCAGATTTTCATATATAGCACCTTTTCTGAAAGAAAATTTAATCTGGTCGATACTTTAGTTTGACCTACCAAGCGGTTTTCATAATAATTAGAGAAAACGGAAAAATTTTCGAAATGTATTATTTTCAATTTTGTTTATTATTATTTATTATATTTTTTTTTTTTTTATATGATTCAATAAAAAATATTTGTGTAGACTTGATCTTTGGACAAAAATATTATAATTTTTTTCTTTTCTAGACGTAGTAAAAATGTTAAAACATTTTAGCCATTTTTGAGCTATTTATAGATATTTTAATTTTACAAGTTTTTTACGTAATTTGTATTCTGATTCGATAGGTAGGTACTTTGTGGATAAAATTGTTAGACCAAACAGAAATATTTAAGTAGTGATAGTAGGTACAAGAAATAAAAACAGCTAAAAAAATGATTTTGGGAACCAGGAGTGCATGTAGAACAAAGTCGATGCACGGTTCAGTGTAATAGTACCTAACAAAAATTACGTAAAAACCTCTTAAAATTAAAATGTCTATAATTAACTCAAAAATCACTCAAGTATTTTAAAAATTGTATGACTTATAGACAGAGCAAATATAAGTTTTTGTCGAAATTTCTAGTTTCTTCGAATATTTTAAACCTAAATTATGACCGTATACTAACAAAAAAATAAATAAACCCGGACATTCTTCGTACGATGGAGGTGAGGTCGTATTGCTAACGAAAAACGGTTCTGAGAGGAGTACGGTTATTAGTGCTAATTTTTAACATTAACATTAACATTTTTAACACTGTCTGACGGTGTGTGGTGGTAGTGGCGGCAGTTTCTGTATTGGTTATCCATCGTGATGGTCGGGTGAGTAGCGGAGGTGGAGAGCCAAAATCGAAAATAATAAAATCATTAATACCGTAAACTTTCCCTTATATCCTACGTTTTTTTCCAGTTTTTTTTATAAATATTTTCATCAACATTTGATATGAAAACGATTATTTAAAAAAAAAAAATGACTACAAACTACAACATGTTCAACTTTTGTTTTTACAATTAGTAATACTAATAATGAACCTCGTGTTTAATTTTCAAGCTTTTCTATTGATAAAAATATATTATCTAAATAATATTTGCCAAACAGAAATTACGTAAAAAATAAAATAGAAAATAGATAGATAGCTCAAAAATATTTTCAGATAATGTTGAACGTTTAATCACGTCTAGAAAAGGCTAATGTACGTTTTCTGTCAACATTTTAAGTTTCTGCGAACATTTTTAACTGAATTAAAACAAAAAACGAAATCATTATAACCGTAAACTTTCACGCTCGTTCTACGTTGTTTCCCGGTTTTGGTGGAAAACTTAAATGGTAAAAATTGAAAATAATGAAATCAAAAAAAAAAAAAAAAAACGTTTTCGTTGGCAATAGTTTATCATTGCGTACAAATATCAATTAAACAACTTAATATTATATCCTGCCTTCCCAACTTCCCACTGACTACAGTAGCTCTTTTTTTTTTTTGTGGTTGGAATTCTGTTTAAAATATTCGAAGAAACTAGAAACTTTGACAAAAAACTTATATTAACTCTCTCTATAAGACATACAAATTTTTAAATATATGAGCGATTTTCGAATTAATTATGGACATTTATTAATTAATTATAAATAATTAGTTAATTTTACGAGGTTTGTACGTAATTTTTATTTGGTGGGAAGTATTACAAATCGTGTGGCAGCGCATCGACGTTGTTCCGCATGCACTCCTGGTACCCAAAATCATTTTTTTAACTCTTGCCGTTTGTATTTCTTGTTCCTGCTGTTACTCGTAGTCAAAACTGATTTTCACAGCTTATCTTTTTCTGCATGAACTCCAAAAACTCCAATCAAAAAACACAAGAGGCCATTTTTGTTTAATATTGAATCTAATTGGATAATAAGAAAGTTATTTTTTAATATTTGGTGTAGTTTTTTAATAACTGGGAAAATCAAGAAAAACCGTAAAAAGAAAGTTTACAGACAGAATTCAACTATGTTTAGTTTGAAATATTTTTTTTGTATTTCAGTATAATTTTTATTTGGTAAGTACCTACTATGTGGTTAAAATTGTACAACCAAACAGACAATTTTGAAAATTTAACATGAATTATGAATTGTAATATAATTTAATTAATATAATTTTAATATATGAATAGCCTTTCAAAACATGTTTAATTAAACTTTACGCATACTATACTGTTCCAACTTCCTACCCAAAACAGTGATGCACCCATCCCCAGTATAAGCTCATTCTTTTATATTCGGAGTTTAGCGATGTATCTATTGGTTTTACAATGCTGTTTATTTTTTTTCTTTCTTTATTCTAGTCTGTGAACACGTTTATTCCTAGTGAACTTGCTCCGATGTACAAGTTCAGCACCTTTTCTGAAAACTCAAGTTGTCTAGATTGTACATTAAACACGCCATTTTTTTAAATAAAAGCATTAGTTTTACTCATAATTGACAAAAATCAAAAAATTAAATTTGATTAATATTTACGATAACGTAGAGTCCAGATTTAATTATTTTAACATGATCAACTTTTTTTTTTGTACCAGAAATATTACTCTTATCTAAAAATAAAAAGAGATCGATTTTGTTCCTTTTAAAACATAGCCACTAACAGAGAAAGTGGTTTTTTGATATCTAAAGTATTTTTGACATAGTTGGAAAAAACTAAAAAAGCCGATTAGCCAAATTACGACACGACGGTTTCATTATTCCGAATTTGTATAGTTTATGTTCTCTGCCATAAACATTGGTCTAATAGAAAAACGACGAGCAACCTTTTTTGTCACATCTTTTAATTTAATTTATTTTTCTTTTTATCTGTGAGCAACTTTTCTAACATAAATCTTGCTCGGATTTTTAAGTGTAGCAATTTTTCTAAGAACAAATCTTACTAGGGAAGTACTTTAGAGAATTCATTTTTCGATTTTCCTTAGAATTTTTCTCGTAAAATGTGAAAAACCGAAAAAAACGAAGGAAAAACGGGACAATATAATAAATGTAGGTGTTAGTTAAAATATATTACCGCCTTCTTTTTTCTGTGCACAACTTTTCTACCAGAAGTTTTTCTCCAATTCATAATGGTAGCAATTTTTCTAAAGGGAAACTCTGCAGGTACTCTATGAATGAAATTATTAGACTAAACAGAAATACTCGAGTATATGACAGGAGTTTCATTAAAAGTCGTACTAAGTGGTCGAAAAAACAAAAACAAAAATTGATCGTAATGTAGACATTATTTTTCTTTCCACAAGTATTTTAAAATCAAATTATGACGAAAATCGTATGGTTAAGTTATTTAGTTATAGGTCAAGCGTAGTCCCCGTTCTTCCGAGCGGTTTTCGGAATAATCGGGGAATGGCCGGGAAAACGGGATAATTTGCGTACATGTATGTAAAAGAGACTTGGCTCCGAATCGTTTTCCGTCGGCACCGGTTCATATCGTCGGTTACGGGCATTAATCGAATAACTCCGCGTATCCCGCCTTCCCGGCTGTCTACGGCGGCCGCGCCCGTCCTCGGCTGTCGGGTCTATTTATTTTTTTTCTCCGTTTCGTACGGACTTTCTCGAACGCCGCGCGGTTACATCACCAACACCGCGCAAATAATGATGTGAAAATTCGACACCGATGAATGTACCGATATAATACACTCGTATTATTATTAATATTATTGTTATGTTATTATTATTATTTTTTTTTTTTTTTTAATAACGCGACGAGACGTACGACGCCGCCGACGAGTTCTCGCGGCCGGAAGGCACTTCCGGCCTTTTCGTCGTCGCCGGCACCCGTCGAAATATAACAATTAATCTTATACCGGGTAACAATATCGCATTATAATAACATATTAATATACGTTCGTACTTACGTTAGTATTTGTATAAAAAAAAAAAAAAAAAAAAAGGTTTCACCGAGCGCGCGTGCGATTCCCGAACAATACAATTATTGAAATCGAAAAAAAAAAAACAGTATGAGACGTCAATAGAAAACCGCGAGACAGTGACACTCGCGAATATTATCCTATTAGTGTTTTTTTTTTTTATGTCTTGTGCATTGTCCGCACTATTGTCTGGCCGGCGCGTGAAAATCTCGCGCGTACGGTACCCAATACCCGCGGCATCACGCGGATCTCCGGATGATCCGGCCGCGGCACAGTCTGACAGAAGACGCGAGTCTTAAGGTTAAACTTCGAGCAAACGAAAATTCGTTACAGTCGCGCCGTAACGCTTGTCCGTATCAGACTTTTTTTTTTTCCCCGCGATTTTTCGTCCCTTCGCCGGCCGCGACAATCGCGATATTAATATCGTAATAATTTCTCACGGTTTTTTCATTACCACCGTCGTTTTTACCGTGCGAATTCGCGGGACGTTCATTACTTTTTTTTACGGTTTTTTTTTTTCTGCCCCCGTAACAAACCATGAACAAACACGTCCGTCTGTCGATCGTGTGCGCGGCGTTTTTATCGTCGGCGAATATTTTCGTTCGATCCGGTAAGTGGGTATAGCAACAGCATAATAATAATAATAATAATAATAATAATAATAATATAGCACTGTGTTACAATATCGTTACATAGCGAGTACAGCGGTGAATACTCGCAACGAAACCGCAATATTATTGCCGATAACACTTATCGTCGTATCGCATCAGACACGTGTAGAATGCATAGAATTTTCATAATTATTGCCAATAACACATTGTTTATATTATGAATACCGATGGTCTATATAACGAATATTATTAACTGCAGTATTTACAACGCGTCTATAGTACCGTAATGTCGTTGCACGCTGTTTTTTACGACGCTATACCGTTCTTTATCGGTAATAATATTACCGGGCGATCCATTTAAACGAGTACACTCGTTATCTCGGAAAGTGTTATTCACATCTTTCGGAATTCGTTTTCCAGAACATCTAAGAAACAGTCATCTCTACAATTCTATACTTATGTTATTTTTTGTCGCCCTTATTTTCGGGTGTAAAACCACTACCTACTTTCCACTACCAAACGGCGACCTATATTTGAAAAGTCCGTAAATAAATGGAGTATTAGTTAAAATAAATTTTGATATTGAAATTGTTGATTTCCGTCTAGCGAATATTCGACGTATATGAACCACTATACTATCCTTCAACTTAAAAGTGCAATATATCTCGTCGACGGCTCGGCAGAAAACGAAAATGTCAACACTAAAATTCGTTTTAACTAATACTCCGTTCATTTACGGAATTTTTAAATCGGGTTGCCGTTCGAAAACCGAAAGTACTCAACGGCGGTGCCCAAAGGTGCTCGATGGTTTTACCCCCGAAAATAAGGGTGACACAAAAACAACGCGGATACGAAATTGTAGAGCTGCTTGTTTCTTAAACGTCATAGAAAACGAAAGACGTCAACAATACTTTCCGGGATAACTTTCCGGGATCCCGCCTAAACGGATCACCCGGTATATACCCGGTAATACCGTGTCACACCGTTCACAGGACGCCAGGTACCTGGTTTTTTTTTTTTATCGATTCCCCCTTCCACCCCCACCCCAACAACGATGTTGCACAACGAAAACGTCGTTGCGTATTATTGCCATACACGTATTTCGCGCGAGTATAGTGCCGCCTGCGTACGGGTAAACGGGTGCGTAACGGCCGTCGCGCGGTTCGGGATTCCGCAATACCCGTGCACGCGGACAAAAGCGCCGTACTGTATAATAACATCGGTAATAATAATAATAATAATATAATTGGTATGCGCGCGGAATGATTTACAACGTTATGAGCACGTCGCGGAAACCCTCGGGGTGTTTAACATGCGGACGACAACCGCGTCGGCGAATTTTCGCACCGCGCGTTCCAACGGTTTTGTAAACACGTGCAGCGAGACGATATTGTCCCGCCGGCGTGATTGGCGCGCACGTGGCCCGCGTCCGCGGATTAGCGTTTCGCGTCTGAAACGATTTTCTAAATTATAACACGACGGCACGCTTAGGCACGCCCGTTTCACGCGGCGCACGGCGGAATTCTCGTGGCGCGGCGGCGACATTTCGGCCCGTCGACCCGTAGCCGCCGACGACCGCCGGACCGCGGTCTCGTTAGAGCGTCCGAGTGACAGTATTTGAAACATATACTCGTATAGCACCCGGAATATATTATTTTTTTTTAAATATTTTCTAAATTCTGAGCGGATGAACGTGGAACGTGTGGGTTTTACAGTGATGTTTATCCCGCGATTTTCCGAGAGGAAATCTGACCGGGGTGGTATTGTAGGAAGGTCAATTTTTTTTTATTATTTTCCCCGGGGGTTTTCATAATAAATGGGGAAACGACGTAGAGAAAACGGGAAAATGTACGCAACGTATTATTTTCGAATCGTAAAATGTACGGTCTTTTAAAAATTACGATTAATCGTCGCTTACAGGCGCGTACATTTAAAACAGTAACCGACCCGTCGTGCGAATTGTGTCCGGGTTTTTTTAACTAAGAATTCGGAAATTATCTCATGAAAATTATTTTAAATATTGTCTTAGGCGCGTTTTTATTTGAATTTCAAGTACTTTCGTGCAAATACTTAATTCGAGAATTACAAATCTACTTGAATTAACTTTTTAGATAAATAAAAAAAAGTATTTAAGATGTATTTAAATACACGATGAGTATTAACATATTTGCGAGTATACTTGTACGTATATTTTGTTCTTTAATACTTTTTTGAATGTATCAGTATACAATTTGAAAAATATTTTTCACAAGACTGCTAGATCGTTACGGTAGTTGTAAATAAATACAACATTTGATTGTAGATTCTTGGCACATTCAGAGGGATGTTTCGGCTTTTCTACCTACACGATGTGTGCGACTTTTGTTTTTTTTTTATGTGCTACGAACAATTTTTCCATCACAAATCTCGCTTTAATAAAAATAATACGAGATAATATTTTTGTTTTTCTCAAAAACTAATAAAACCCGGAAAACGTTAGAAAAACAGAAAGTTTACGTTTATGTCTTATTATTTCGATTTTGTTTTCTTGTTGGGATTCGGATGAAATTAGTGTGAGTGGTCTATAATCCCCGCAGAACACTAACAGTAGCTCTTTTTAGATGTGGAGACATTTTCAAAACATCCTAGGGATTTTTAAGCTACTCATAAGTAATTGAAATCTTCGTGTTGTTCTCAGTTTTTATTTGATTTTTTAGTATATGTGGATAAAATTGTTTTGCCCGAGAAAAACATTTTTGAAATTTTACACTTGATTCATCTTAAGTTATACCTAATGGACAAAAAAAAAATATTGTACCTAAGTTATGAACATTATAAGTTAAAATTATGACGAAAATCATGAAAATCACGGCATTTTCAACCATGTTTAACTGAACTTTGCTCAGAGATGTACTTCGTTAACAACGATTTTTCGTCGAACACAAATATAAATAAAAAAATTATATACGTTTTAACTTCCCAACTTCCCGCCAACAACAGTGGCACACTCGTCATCAATATCAGCTCTTTATCCCCTTCATATTACCTATCACAATCAATATTGCCTGTAGGCATACAATGAGACAATTTTCAGATTTCATATTCTTCTGTATATTATGTGTAATATTTATGCATAAAATGGACACATATTCTGTCCGTTACTTAAAACGAAAATGCATAATTATTGTACGTATACCGTGAATATTAAAAAAAAAAAAAAAAATGTATATTAAATTATTAATTTTTTTATTAAACCTCAATAGAACAATAATAAATAATAACCATTAAATATATAGTGCTTAATTAAAATTGTTAAATCAAATTTTAAAAGAAAAAAAAAAATGCAATATTCAGATTGTGACTTAGGTTTAATTAAAAGTATAATATTACAAAACGTAGTCGTGGTATTGCGTAATTGTATATATGTATATATCGGTTGAAAACCGTACGTTTTTAATCAAACTGGGAATATTTCATTAGTTTCAAAATGACTGAACCGCATACGCCTTCAAATTAATTCACATAATTGGTTTTGTTTTGTGTGTGCGACATCGTATGTAAAAATAGATTTCCGTTTGTTTCAATTAATTAAAATTTGTACCGACGAACGATACCGGGTTAGACCTCGTCGATTCGAAAGATCCGTTTGAATGTAAATTACGAATCATTCGTCTTTAGTAATGAATAATAATAATTGCGGATAGACGCGTACAAATATCCCACCGTTGTGCAGAAGAGTACTCTGTTACTATACAGACTGCAAGGCTCGGATTTTCCTCCGCCTGTTTTGTATTATAAAGAAATAAATGTAAAGCAGTAAACGACCGAGTACGCGTGTAATAACATAAACAGCACACGTACAATATAATATAATAGTACAATAGTAAAAGTATAGTATTTCCCGAAAAATTTTGAAATTCGAGCATACAAATTACAGGGGTGGGGTTCAAGTCAAATCGTATCCTGAGCTCTCAACCGTATACATTTATATATATTTTATATTATAAGTTTCAGGGTCTAGTTTTCATTTGTGGGGGCCCAATCAAATAATACGTTTCTAAAACTTAACTATGATTTAAGTATGACTATAAGCCTGGAGGTCTATAATATACAATAATAATACACATTGTGCGCGCTGTGTGTGTGTTCGACGGAACAACTATCTCTTAATCAAATGTTTACCCTGGAATTAAAATTATCATTCTGGTGAAGGCTGAAAATTCAAACCATCAAAACACACATCCGTGACACTTACGTCATGTTAAAGTATATATATTTAGGTTTACATATAAAACAAAAACAAAAAATCAAACCTCTAAGAGGCTCTACCAAAAAATTTGCTGCTTGACTTGAGTAAAATTAATACGTTCATAACTTAATTATTAAAGACCTAAATCCAGTGGCACCGAATACGTACTTGAGGTGGTGCAATTGCACCACATAAACTGGGAGTGGATACTGGGTCTATATAATTTTGAAAAACTGGCACTTAGTGGTAGCCAGTAGGTGTTAGGTAGTAGATACCTAACTTAATATGAACATGATAATACTTTGATCATTGATGGTCAATAAGTAAATAGTAATTGTTTAAACAGAGATAGATTAAATATACTACGCAAATAAATAGAAGACTACGGCTATAATAGATACAATTAATAATTGCATTAACTTCACAAACAGTGTAATATATAAAAATTAGAACTGTTTATTTATACCAACGTGCCATTGCCCATTGTGCCTAAGTAAATGTTTACCTTGAAATTACATGGAAATAATATTTTCGAGGGTGTTACACGGTTGGGATGAGTGGGTGGTTAAAACATGATGTTGCGCCACCTACTAAAAAGTAGTTCAGCGCCACTCCCTAAATCGTACATGTAATTCAATCCAAAAAATTAATTAAAATTAAAATCATACCTTCTAAAGTCAACATGAGCTCGTCCAATGAAATAATTGAAAACAATTAATTTTCTTCGAATACACAAAACGCGTTGCAACATACCGATATAAATGAAGTACGATAAAAAATTCAATAACCCAGTAGATCTAATAACTGTTATCGGTGGTGTTTTATTTATTATCACCTAGTACCTGGGTACAAATAATCGTATTAATTTTCAATTTAAACGATTGTTATAGGTCTTAAATGTTCTGCTTTTGGCCAAGTAGAACTCGTATTCCTACCACTATGCGGCATTTTCATTCAAAATTTCATCCCCCCGATTTCGTTTGGGTTTTGTAGCGTTTTTCAAAGCCCAACTTTTATCACTTCGAGACACCTTCGTTTCTAAAAACGTCTAAATTCCGACGTTGGACTCATTCGGTTCGGAAAAGCGTTTAAAAGTGTCCGAAATGGTAGCAATAATCTCGTCGATCGTTGTCCATTCGACAATTCGGCGGTTTTCGGCGGAGAAATCTAAGAGATTTTTTCGAATGTTCGTTTCAAAAAATATTTATCTTTTTCCGAACGAACCGTTCGGTTTTTGCTTACAAGGCGATACGCGTTTGTAAACAATTCGAATATAATAAATATTACGAATCGAATTCCGTACACACGTATTCGCCGTGTGTTCGTATTTAAAATGAAATATGCGTTTTCCCGATATCGTCACGTCACGCGCAATCGACAGCAGCTGTCGCGTACAGCGGCGATATCGTTATCGATATCATTATACATACGGCTCTCGCACGTCATACGTACGAACGCGTACAATATATTATAATATTATTATATTCGATAATGTTATAATAACACGATATTATAGAACAGATGTCCCGTATATCAACAAACATTGTTGTGCAAACACGCGACACGCTATCGACCCTTCGAGTGCGCGTCACCAATATAGTGTTTTGTTGTAAACAGACATCTTGAGTCCGACAGATAACATTGTTACAATGTTGATAACACTCGACTGCAGTGACGGGTCCGCCGTCGAGTTATTTTATTTTATTTTTTTTCTTGTTATTTATTTATTTAATTGAAATACACACCCGAAAGCATTCAGTACAGAATACTTATAACAATACAAATATGAAAACGTGCATGAATAGTGGAAAAAACAACGTTCAGTAAGTCTTCTGTAAGTGTTCTAGGTACATAACTAGTAAACAGTATAAGAGTTGAAAAAAATAGTTAAAAAGAGAATACATTGATTTATAGCGTACTTTTGATAGGAATGAAAAATATCAAAATAATTTTGAAAGCTATTACAGGAGACTAAGCTAGATCATATTATAACCGCCTTGTCAAATCGTGCGAACACAAATAATTCGAGTACCGTTCGGTATACACGCGACCGGACATGTTAATATATTATTATTGCTATAAATGATACGTATACCTAGTGCAATGTATAGATCACGAAAGATACCTATTGTTCGTATATATTTATTTCGCGTTTACTGACAAACTGCGAGACGTGCGCGTGTATCGTCTCCGTCAATTTCGGTTTTCCGTCTCGTCCCGCACTGGACAACGACTAGTTACTACTTTTTACCGATATCCGATATCCGAGTTGTTATTGAAAACCCAATTTTCTTCGAGAGGGCGTTATATTAATATCTACCCGCACAGTGCTGTCCCCGTCTAACAACCGTGCGACATATCAAATTTTCGTTCTGTAAGCGACAACTCTCGGCTGCTAATTTCAATATTAGAACGAATTGACCTATTATCAAACTTAAAGATATTATCTCTGTGTCGTGTCGTCAGTTATTCCGTAATTAAATTTTTCATACGAGATATTATGAGTGTGCGAAATATCACGATTTAAAAATGCGTTTATCTCACTAAAAAATTTAAATTAGAAAAAGACTACTGTATTATTATGTTCTTATCTTTAAATTTGATAATAGATAAAATGTGCAATTTTGCGAGGTTGCAAAACAGAAACAGCTCACATGCGGGTATATAACGTAATTGTATTGTTTTTTTTTTTCATATTCCAGAGGCACTGAAGATATTTTTTTCCGAAAATATCGTTTTGAGGAAAACACTTATACCCCCGGTATCGAGTTTCAATTTATATACTGGCTCACCCCTAGTTTTCATTCTCAATTAAACCCGTCTCGATTTCTTTTTCGTCTGCGTTTCCCTATACATAGTTTAAAAGTTTTATAATTTTTTATTTTTTCCTGCAGTGATTTTTTGTAACGGATTACCGGCTATATATGAATGATTCATCGGTGAATATTAATTCCCCATACTTCATCCCTCAATTCCTCATACCTAACGCCGGGACCGGAAATTCTAAAGGTTTTGTTAAAATACTTTTTTTTTTTTTTTAATTTTATATTTGATCAAATTACTAGCATTAAAGCTATCGCAGAAATCCTCTAGAGATTGTATTATAATAATAAATGTGCCTATACTTGCATAGTATCGAATTCATTGTTATTTCGTTTCCATTGGAAATACGACCCGGATTCATATTTGTTTGAAATTGCATTTGTGCCGTCTGTAACAATTATTAAAAAAAAAAGTTGGGATTATATTTTTTACCGACGTAGTGTCGATTATTTTCAAAGTTTCTAAAATTAAAAAACCTATAGTATTAAATATGTAACAGACAAAAGTCTGCATAGAGCAGAGCCAATATAAATCAAACAATACAAAGGTTAGGAGTTTTTTTTTTTTTTTTTAAATTCGTTTATTCAAATTTATTTGCACTTTTGTTTGGATAATACGCAAATTTTATGAGGTAACAATAAAAAGACAAGGAAAAACGTGTAGACAGGAGTTTCTTATAAAAGTTCAATAATAAAAATAACCTATTTATTTAAATTATTATATGTTTTGCAATGATGTTTTTTTTTTTTTTTACTGTATAGAAAATTCCTACCAGTAATCTTGCTCCGATTTTCTAGTGTAGCAACTTTTCTAAAAATAAATTTTATCTGAGTGGTACTCTAAAATAGTCATTTTTTGATTTTCCAAAGAGTTTTCATAATTATTGGGAAAAAACGTAAAAATTTGTGAAAAAAATTTTTTATTGTTTTCAATTTTGTTCTTTTCTTTTCATTCAATTAAAAATATTCAACAATATGTAGGTCATACTATGGTAAAATAATTACGTTTTAAGCATTATATATTTTCCCGTTTTTTCTACGATTTTTTCATGTTTTTCCTCCATTTTTTCCCATTTATTATGAAAACTCCTGGGAAAATCAACAATAATGGCATGTTAAAAGTACCTTCCCAGTCAGATTTGCTTTCGGAAAAAGTACTATTTTTGTAAATCGGAGTGAAATTGCTGGTGAAAAAATTGTTCACAGATAAAAAAAAATACACACCATTGTAGGACCAATACATTCCTCTATCCGCTCTGAATTTAAAACAATAATTTCCGTTTGTACAGAATGAAAATAATGCGAAATAATAAAAACACAAATAATACTGTTGTATTATCGGTATGATAAAATAACGAACGCCTCCGGATATTATACTCGCGTTTTCATGCGCCGTCGACGCCGTTATTAGCGCTAAATAATACCATTTGTTTACCGAGCGATCGCGGCTTTAGGTCGACGGAGAAAAACGACGAGAATAAAATATAATAAAAAAAAAATCCATAAAACACGCACGCCGCTATAATATAATATCGTCTTTCACACTGGCGTGCGTTTCCATTCGGTTATTTTCGAATACGGTTCAAAAATAATCGTTGTGTATACTGCAGTGGGAAAAAAAAAAACTACTAATGCGTTTCTGTGAGTATTTGTGTGTGTGTGTGAGTGCGTGTGTGTATTTATGATACGTACGCGTACAAATTATAGTCTTACTGTACATAAATATATTAGTATTGCGCGCCTATACGAAAAACCGGGTAAAAATACACGAGTGAGCTCGTGATATGCATACAGTATTATCGTTTTATATTAATAAAAAATAAAAAAAGTAGGTACACCGTGTAACGGTACGTTAAAATATTATATTTTTATTTTGCGGTTTTGTTTTTTTAATACTTTTATTTATTTTTTTTTTTTTTTTTTTTATTTCAGTTGACGAATACGATTACTCGGATCTGTGTTTTCGTGACGACCCAAAAATAGACGTTTGCATCCGCAAAAGGATTAATGATGTGGTCGAACAGTACCAAAAAGGTATACCTACTGTAACATTACAGCGTTTAAATAATAAATGGGTCAAAACCGAGATGGTTTTATTTTTTACCTTTTCTTCCGATTGAATACTGTATTACTATTATTATTATTACTACGCATTCGTTTTTATCGTAAAACGCTATATTACTTACATAAAACACGAACAAATGTATTCGTATATTGTTATTATTACACGCGATATGATAACAAATTAAAACGGAAGAAATTTAAAAAAAAAAAAAAAAAATGATTTTTCGCCGCTAAGTATTCTGCAGCAGATATAATACGTTAGCTTGCAGTATATGCGATACTCGTCCGTCTTTTTATAGATTGCCGAGTTATTTCATTTCACATCAACGAAAAATAAATTTTACCGTACCCTAAATATGTAATTTTATAAACCAAATAAATTATACTTGAATAATAATAAGAAGCGCGATATTATCATTTTGTTATGTACGACAATGCAATGCAATATACAGTTTTACTATAATGTTTTATCAATTTTTTTTAATATTTATTAAATACGTTTTATGATTTATCCATCCCCTAAACAATTGTAATTTTACAACTTCTGTCGGCGACAGAAATTTATAAAATTAGTCAACTGAATTAAACGAACAAAGTAAATCGTATGTGTGACTTATCGAAAAAAATACCTTAAATTACAAACAACTAAACAATAATACCGATCGCTTGTCGGATATTTTGTTCGCGTTTTTCAAATATTTAGGCGTTACACACACGAGGTGTTATACATTTTACGAATTCAAAATCCACGGAATGAAACAAGTATAGTCCAAGGATCTTTGACCAAACAATTGTAGGTACCTATTCGTATAGGTTACTGTGGCATTATATTGTGCCCTGTCCGTTATTTTCAATTTCACCGTATTAAACAACTTGTTTATACTTTTTACAACTCTAACACAACTAATTTTTCGGAAATTAATTTAAATAGCAAAACTCTAAATTCTCGGTAACTGCGTTGTTGACCTGTCTAGACTGTACTTACCCAAACAAACTCTCATCATTTTTATTTCGTAGTTGAAGTAGTTTAATCGATTTTTCATTCGAGCTGCCCCCCCCCCTTAAATCCTAACACCGTATAATAAAACATTGCCTGATAAAAAAAAAAAACATAATAATATAATACACAATTCAGACGTTGTCTTTTGGCGAAATCGACCGTAGTTTATAAAAATTATACACTGCTATTAAACTTAGGTGCTTTATTAAATAGTTCGTATGGAAAATCCACCGCAAATGTTTATCGAAACTAATACATATATAGCTATCTAAAATACTATCTACTCTTGGAGTTTGTTTAGGAGCTATATTTGTATCATTCAAATTTACACGTGTTTTCACAAGAGTTAATAGTTTTTCATTTAAACGCATATTCGTGTTGTTCAAAAAGAAATTCATGTATAAATTCGTTTTATAAGCGGCCAATAATCCTATTTGTCATTATGGACGTATAACGTTGTTCAGCTAAAATGTTTTTTTTTTTGTATGAACTGATTCCAACGTCTTATCAGAAAAAAACCATACACGTAACAATCCACACGTCAGTCAACTTTAGAGTGTAACAGCGATACTACACAACATATTATATAATAAGAAAAGATTTGAACCTGGCGCACTTCCCCGCGGCAAATAATATTTTTCACGACTGGTGTGCCGTTATGACGTTGACCGATTGTTACATACTTTCTGGAAATCCATTTTAAACTTTTATTCGCAATATCCGCGAACCCCGGCGGGATTTGTTTAACTTCAGTACGGTTAACAGTGTCAGTCCAATTGACAGCCTATCCGTGTTAGAAACAATTATGAATTATTATTCGATTGTCGAAAACGCCAATAATGTATCATATTATTTAAAATACTCATACAATACCTAAATAAATAAAGTCTCGTGACTAAACGTTATCGTCTAACTACATATATATATATATGTTACAGACATTGGCACCGACTTTTAGATTTTAGCCCGGGGGCAAATAAAAAACCTAAACATGCTGTACATGGTATTTTTTTATACACAAAAACAAAATGACATTTTTACATTTCACCTCCGTTATAACTAAAATACGGGAGCTATGCCCCCCTTAAAATCAAAGTACGAAAGCGATCGGGCCCGTTTCCCCCGTAAAGTTGGCGCCTACGGTTACAGGCTAAACCCGATATCGGGATAAGCTATAGGTTATCTTGAAATTTAAATTCACATTTCCAGATGAACTAGCATAACCTAGGCCAAACTGATTGACACTGTCGATATTAGTGTTATTGTAGTATTAAAATGTAAAAGGCGTACAAGACGTTTGTAATTATTATAATCATTTTAATCGTAAAATGTAATCTATATAATGGCAATACAAATCGATTAGACTGACGGGCGAACAGGTCCGCGATAATACTTATGCTGCTATATTATTTCTACAACAGTTATTATTATAGTAAGGCAACGCGTATCTACAATATTGGTCGTCACAGTGTATGCCATAAATGTAAGTACCAGTGTCCATTATTCTATTATCTACATTACTATTTCACAATATCGACAGTCTCGATCGGTTTAGCCTAGGTTATACTACACTATAGTTCGTCCTACTAACTCACTAACTTACTGGTATACCGTATGATATGTCATGATATCGTGATTATTCGTAAAATAAACGACGCGTATTGGCCATATATGTAAACGTCTTATAACTTAATACTATATACTAATGATATCGACAGTCTCGACCAGTTTAACCCACATTAAACTAGTTCGTCATGAGATATGAATTTCAATTTCGGTATAAACTAGTTTTATCCTGAGACCGGGTTCGGCCCTGTATACATCTCGTGAAATCCAAATTCTTTGCGAAACATCTCTCATTTGTTGACAATATGTATTACCCCGTAAATGCGTACGTATTCGTCCCCGGTATCCGACGAAAGATCGATAATTATATTATAATAAAACACGTTTGACGGTATTCAAAGCGTTGTGTCGGCGTTATTGCGAAAGCTGAGATTAACGGATTCCCCGACCGTGTTATACATAACATTATAATATCGCACCGTATAAAAAGCGGAAATATGTAAGGAAAATATTGAATTTCCAACCCGTACCCGTACCCGTGCCACATCGGCGTTTAAACCGACGACGTCGGAAAAACGTATCCGCGAATTCCGCGAACGTTTTGAATTTATGCATTTCCGAGAGCACCCGTTGTATAGGTATAATATTGGTAATATCATAATACGCCGTGTATCGAAATTATTTCAATGAAACTCGGATTTCATTTTAGAGATTCCGGAGGCGTGAAGCGCGTTCGAAAGTTTGAACAAATAGCGTAGGTGTTGTAACGGGCGCCGAGACGCGAATCGATAAACGTAAAAAAAAAAAATAAAATAAAACAACAAAAAAGAAACGTACAGCTGAGACGATGAAACGCGAAATTTCCAGGACACGCGTACTGGAACGAAACAATATACGGACTCCGGAAGAACGCGAACGGGCTTGAAACGCGTGTACCGATATCATTGCAAACGGAGACGTTCTCTTATTATTAATAATAGCTGTTATTGTAAAAAACTAAAAAACAATATATAACATTACAGTATTGTAATTTTAGATTGTATAATAGAACGATTAGGGTGCGGATTTAAATGCTCTAAAAAAATAAGAAAAATGGCTTAAAAAAATTCGATGTAATGCATTTAAATAAAAATAAAAGGTTAAAAAATACTCCAAAATTATTTTAAACGTTGAAAATAAACGTTTTTTTATTAGGTAATTTTATAAATTTATTAAACACAACGGTGCAAATAGTGCAATACGACTACATTACAACTCGATAAATAGTTTATTGTTTACTTTGTTGCAACCGACATCGTATTTATTTGGTTCACAATCGATAAATCTATATCTAATAAATTTCAAAAATAGAAATAGAAATTATTTTTTTTTTAAGAGAAAATCGAAATAGATGTCATCAAATTTTTTGATAACACTACCGAATCTGTAAAAAAAAATAAAAAAATGCCTTAAAAACTCAAAAAAAAGCACTTCTTAAAATGTCAAAAAATGTTTTACAAATAAAAAGAGCTGATTCTGGAGATGAGTGCTACTACTGTTGTAGTTGGATAGTGGGGAAGATGGGATGTATAAGGTTATTTAATTTATATCTATAAGCAACGATAAACCATTGCTGACAAAAGACGATTCCGAGTGTAGTTCGGTAATACATAATTTGAAGTGTCGTAATTTTTTTTAACCTTACCTTCCTACGTTTATTCCCGATTTTTATGAAAACTAATACGAAAATAAAAAAACGAACTGCATCGTTAAACACAAGATTAATTCAACAAAAAATATAACTTGTCGTTTTTTAATTGGAGCTACATTTGTGCTAAAAAGCACAAGGTACTTATTTAAAATAACGAAATCATGAGAAAATATTTTTTTCCCAGTAAATCCTTTTTATTTTAAATGCCGTTTCGAAAATCAAAAAATTCCCTATGTATTTACCAAGAATATAAAATGTAATTTTAGAAAAGGTGCTACACGTATACATTGGAGCGTGTTTTTTTAAGATAAAAGTGGTCTACAATATAAAAAAAGTACTATTGTAAAAAAAATTAAAAAATTGTCCGATAAATTTGAAAATTTTACCATGTCTAGGTAAGTTTAATAAAATTATTATTACCAAGTTTCAAGATTCTACATGTAATTATAACCGAGTTACAGCAAAAATACTCCATAAAGTTTTAATTCCTTAAAAGCTCAAAAGTGGCTCAACAATTTTGGCGATAATACCGTTAGAAAGTAAAAATAAAAAAGGCAAAAAAAAAGGTATCTTGTGATTTTTCGATTAAATCATTTTTTTTCTAGTAAAAAACGTCGTCTGTGTTTTTGTAAAATAATGAAACCGTGAAATTGTACGTTTTCTTACGTTTTTTCCCACTTAGGTGCTTTTATTTAAAAAATGGCTTCAAAAATCAAAAAATTACCTTTATAAAGTACCATCTAGATAACTTGAGCTTTCATAAAAGTGTCTACACGAAAAAATTGAAACAAATTTACTAAGAAAAAACGTGTCCACAGACTCTAGGACAAAGAAAAAAAGAAATAAACATCTTAGTAAAACCCGTAGCTCCCCTCGCTATGCTCGGAATCTAAAAAGTTCTAAAACTGAAAAATAAAAATTTTAATATTTCGATGTATGAAACTAATTTTGAGTTTAGAAAGCATTGCTATAAGACATTAAAAAAAAAAAAAAAAAACACGATTTGCGTTATAGTTCGCGCCATAATATTTATAATATAATGTATTTTGTTCGAATTAACGTTGTATATTGAAATACCGATTTAGGAAACGACGAGTACGGTTTACATGGATTCGACCCGCTGCCACTGGAAAATCCGCTACATTTCGAACACAAAGCCCGACTGATCGGCGGAAAAATGTCCGTGAAGAACATGATGACCGAAGGCCTGAGCACGATCAAAGTGCTGTCGCTCAGGTAAGATATTTAAACCGGGCGCAAAACGCCTGCGGCCGACCGGGGCTATGACCTCGTACGGGTCCCGTCATCGACGAACCGTTGCGGTCGAATTTCCCCGTGACATTCCCCCCTTCGTCCCCACCCACTCCTCGTGACCTATTTCGAGAGTACCTATTTGAATAATTATGCCATATAGGCACACGCTGCAGTTCCGCTTTTAACATATTTAACCGAAAGATCCCACCACGGTTCAGTTTTTTTTTTCGAAAAAATATTTTTGGAGCCCGATTCACACAATTCAGGCGATCCGGGTCTGGCCGCCAAACACACTAATTATCCGGCGTTCAGTACCAAAATTCTCGGGGAAAATAATGTTTTAAAAAAATCACGGTTAACAGTATACAGTTAACTGAAAAATGGAAAATTATTATGTTTAATTGATGCGCATAATAAATATGTATTGTTTCGAAAGTGTTTCAATTATATACAAGATCAACGAACCAAATCCGGGAATTATTCGGAAAATCGAATGCGATATAACTAAAGTCCGATACAAGCTAGGGAGATGGCTCGGTCACGTACAACTACGTAGGGTCTGAAATCAATAACAAATTATGTCCTAAACTGGACAGCCCCGAGGGAAGTGACCGCAGTAATAATCCATTAAAAGAGAGATAGATTTTGCAAAGGCAAGAAGGAAGTACATTAAGTCCGAACTAGGGAGAAACAATATTAGCGAAGTAACTAAAGACTACAAGACTACCGGGCAAAATAGACAAGGGTTTATTTTCCATCCGCGAGTTTGTGGTCAAGCCACGTCAGCTGCTTGAAGAAAAAGACAAACTTATATATTATATATACATATATATATGTACAGTGTCCCACGAAGATATACCCTTTGTAATATCTCCAGATATATAAAAAATAATCAAATTCTGTTTATTTTTGTATTACTCACAGGGATAAGGACTACACAAATATTTTTATTTAAATTAATTCTTTGTGTTTGGTAAAAAAAAAAAAAAAAAACTATTATTATTATTAATAAAAATTTAAAAAAAATAATTGTGTAGAATTTATTCTTCTGGGAGTACGTAAAGTATCAATTTTTTATTGTCATTAAATTCGTGATTTTTAATTATTTTTTAAAGTTCAGAGAAAAGTATATGTAATTATGCAGCGGATTAAGTAAGCGGTCATTTAGTTGTACTGTTTTTGACTTTATGTGTGAAGCCCCCTGGTAAACGACGATCTAATAAAAGTCCTATAGATACTTGACTATTTGAGAAGCGGGAATTTGGATTCCATAAAGAATAACGTTGGGACACGGAGCCATTATTATAGTGAATGTAGTGTGATAGGATTTATCTTTATTGACTTTGAGTTTTCAGTTTGTGTACCATTTTTCCGTGAGGTGATTTTGTAAATTTCTAGAAGCTATCAGAGGGGCTGCGCGTTAACAGAAATTATGTATTGCACGTGTGTCTTCCTCGATATTTCACAAACGTTTGACAAGGCATGGCTACTTTTTAAGCTAAACAAATGTGTACATCCTTCCTTCCTGTGCAATTATTTAGAAATACCTACGTAATTAATATAGTCTTATTGTAATCTTATCCGAAAAATTGGTACAGTTAATTATTTCGATAGTCAGAAAAATCGCCGCTTTTATGGGACTGCACTCGATAAAACGTCGAGTTGAATCGTCTCGTATCGTATAAATCGCTGAATTATTATTTTTACTGTTCCGTCAATAGCGGGCAGATACCTGTCTATTTGACTTTTGACTTTTTTTTTTTTTTGTGTGCGCAAACACTATAGCGAACGAACGTCCGGATAATTAAAAAAGTTTTTTTTTCGTCGAATAATAAATTATACGGACTATTGTGTTATACGTGGGTAGGTACCCCGTAGAGTGTAGAGCGAGAAAAAAAAAATGCCCAATAGTCTGCAGCATAGGGTAATTGGTGAGTATTATTATCGCGTTGAAATTAATTAATAAACTTCTCGGGCGTCGCACTTTTCCAATTACCCTATACGGTAATAATTAATATTATTATTACCGCGTTACGCCCGGCGCAGACTGTTGCAGTACCCACCCATGTCACAACGCGTTCATAAAGCAATCGTTATTATTATTATTATTATTATAATTATTGTTGTTGTTGTTGTTGCGTTGTTTCATGATGTCGCGCACGGATAAAGATCGAAACTTCAGAACCCGAACCGAATGGAAATCGGATTCACGGCGCACTTTCGGAATTTAATCAGCTCCGGTCAGTATCAGTTCAAAGGGTACTTGGGACGGATGCCCATAAACGCTAACGGACGATACAACATAACATACAGTAAAGTCGTCGCGTATTTACACGCCTAATTACAATATCATTAATTCGTATCGTAATAACGACGGTGATAATAATAACGGCAATAATATGTATGGTAGCCGGGTATCGAATAATACGGGTATATGTGTACGTGTGTGTGTGTGTGTGTGTGTGTGTGTGTGTGTGTGTGTGTGTGTGTGTGTACGTTGGATACGGAAAAGTTTTCGAGTGTTCCATACGTGCATGCGTACTGTCCATTGTACCCGCCGTCCGCGTTATAACAATTTGATATAATACGTGAAAACTGCGTACCGTGTATATTATCGTCATCGACCGTTTTCAAACTTTCCCGCGACGGCGTGCGGGACCATTTTCCCGTGCGACGGGCAGACAGCGCGTTATTACAGCGCTGTTACTGTTATTATTATTATTATTATTATTATTATTGTTATTATTATCATTCTGCGACAATACGCGCGCGTGTCGTAATATTAATATTACAATTCGTCCATTGTCTTGTCCTGTCGCGGCTTTTATCGTGACGTTTTGCAGAGGACGTGGAGACCAGCTATCTGCTCAAAGCCAAGCTCAAAGAAACGGTCGACGGCTCGTTCGTGCAGCTCGAAAGCTTTCGCTCGTATCCGCCGAAATTCGGCGAGACGAAAATCTTCGCCAGCGACTTGGTGCCGGGAAACGCCGCGCTCAGTGAGTGTATTTATTTATTAGAATAGAAACGCCGAAGCGACAATCACAAAAACATAAACTCAGACCGGACTTAGAATTTCCTAAAAATTAACGCTGTTGAGGACTGTCTCGAATCGCAAGACGATCTCAGTAATTACTCTGCCTGGGCTGGTACTCTCGGGCACTCAATGAATATTAATAAACGCCGGTAAATGATATTCATCAAAAGTCGCCCTCCTACTACTTGTTCTTACACTTTGACTCCGATCTAATTCCTGTTGATTTTAGCATTTGTGATCTTGGCTATACTTTTACTTCCTCTATTTGTCCTCGTGCTCATATCGATAAAATCGCATGCAAAGCATTAAAGGTATTAGGTTTCGTCAAAAGAATATCTAATGATTTTAAACTCACCCGGTCTCGTAAATCCATCTATTGCGCACTAGTATGACCTATTCTCGAATATGGCTCTGTTGTTTAGGATCCTCAAACAGCTGATGTCTGTTTACAACCCGAACGAGTACAACGTAAATTCTTTTGCTTCATGAAGCATACTTTTAATGTTAATTTCGCTCCTCATTATTATACTCCCCTTCTCCGTCTTCTTAACTTATCCTCCTTAACTGACCGTCGCCGTTTTCATAAACTTATTTTTCTTAATAATCCCTTATCTGGCGCTGTTGACTCTCCTTCCCTTCTTGCTCTAATTAACTTTAAAGTTCCTGTTAATTACGTCCACAACTCACATACCTTTTCTGTTCCACTTTGCCCTACTAATTATCTAAAAAACGAGGCAATTAACCGTATGATGAAGTTAGCCAATGAGGATCCGTCATTTCTTCCATAAAATTATGTTACTATATTATCTTATTTTTGTTTTTTGTTCATATTTATTTTTGTTATCTTTTAAACTTGTGTCTTTATTCCACATTTATAATATGTATCGTATTTTTTCAGCGTTCGCCATAATTATAACCTGGGCTCACGCCCGTTTATCTTTAATAAATAAATAAATAAATAAATAAATAATTGATTAACTTAATACAAACATAGTGAAACATTACTGAATATAAGAGAATATAACAATAGTTGATAGTTTAAAAAGTAAAATTGTATAGGGTGTAAGCAGAGGTCGATACAGGTTCGCCAGCCTAAGCATTCTATGCAATGGATGATTATGGTTATACGAAGTTGAGTGAGCTGGAATATAAAAAATGAGTGTTGTTCATGGTGTTGTGTGAGGGAACTTTAAAAGACACACTAGATAGGTCAGGAGTATATAGTAAATTGTCGAGGTGAGCGTAAAGAAACCGAAGACCCGCCTCGTTGCTGCGTGAAGACAGGGAAGGTAAATTCAGGATACCAAAAATAAATGAGTAGTCATGATTAGGAGATTAAGTTTAAAAGTGACATATAATAAAGAACCTGTGCTGAACGCTTTTGACTCGCATTTAATCCTTAGCAAGGTTAGAATGCCAAATAATATCACCAAATTAGATAGCTCCTAAATATTATTACTTATATTATGACGCACGCGAGAGTGCGTATTTACGATGTTTTATTTTCGGTAGGCCGTACGAGTGGACTTTTTATGTACAATAATACCATCTATAGCTACGATACACAGTATTCACAGTATTTCGGAGTATGTGTACCCATTATATTTACACGCATATTATCCGCTCGCGGAATGACGAAAATCGAATTCGGTTTTATCAAATTATCTAAACGATATTTCTGCCCGCGGTATTAATATGAAATAACGAAAATAAAAAGCTGTCCTAGAATAACAGATGCAGCCACTGTTGTTATTTGTATCGTTTTTAACGAAAAAAAAACAATTCTGAGTTCGTTTGATAGTGTTACTTAATCAACAATAATATATATATACCATATTATAGTGAAATAATTACATATGCGTTATACATTTTCTTTAAAAAATATTTGTATAATATTATACCTATTTTACCCGTTTTTGCCATTTATTAGGAAAACTATTGGGAAAATCAAAAATACACCTCCTTGAAGTACCTCCCCCCAGTCAGATTCACTTTGAGAAAAAGTGCTACACTTGTTAACCGGAGCAGGATTTTTGGTAGAAAATTTGCTCACGGATAAGAAAAATAAAATAAAAAAATTAACATCATTGTAAAACCAATACATTTCTCGCTTCGCTCAGAATCTAAACTACTGTAATATAAAACGTAACATATTCGGTGGTGCATGTGTGAAGAAAAGGTAGGGGTTGTATTCCCCCCATCGGCTTAAAAATACAATTACTGCGAGTGTTTGTCAATTTTATGCCAAAATGTTTTTAGAACATTAGGTATAGTGTAAGTTGTAAGCGTGACAGAAGAAAATTCTTTGGAGTATTCACGTTTAATATTCTACTAGTAAGTAATATTGTCTTTAATTTTAGAAATGTTTTGATTTTAAGCTTAAGTACATGCAAATCGTGGAGAAATACAACTTATAGCATTACATTATCGGTTTGCTGTAAAATGACAAATTTCAATTCCCTCAAACAACGGAACAATTATTATTCTGTGGCGCTCGGGCAAATGATCTTAAGTCTAAAATCAATACATTTTTTATTAATTAAATAAATTTCCTATAAAAAAGTTTTCAGACTCCAGACATTTTTTCTCGAGTACCACTGAATTATTCTTTTTCATTATGCCATTGAATATTTTATTACGACTGCACGAACTGCAGTACCTATGTCTACACTATTATTGCCTCAATCCTTTTGATTTTAAAAAGGTGGAAAATTGATTGAAAATCTGAAATTTTATATACTCTTAAAAAATATATATTATTGTAATGGCATGTATTCGTAAAAAATAAAGAAAATAATAATTTTAGAACCCGCTAAGAGTATAGCGAAGAATGTATTGGTTTTACAAAGGTATTTATTTATTTATTTTTTTATGTAAACACTTTTTTTATTAGAAAGCTTACTATGATATATATGATGCACTCTTTTCTGAAAAGAAATTTTTTTGTGATGGTACTTTATGGGAGTTATTTTTCGATTTTCTCAAGAGTCGTCTCAGTAAATGTGAAAAACCGGAAAAAAACATGGGAAAACCGAGAAAAACGTAGGAAAAACGGGAAAATCGGTAAAATATTAAACAACTATTAATAAAGAAAATATATGCTGCCTATTTAATTATTTTACCATAGTATGACATATCATATATTATTGACAATTCATCACTATGCATCACAACTCCGCTCAGAATCGTTTTATCGTTAGCAATAATTTATCGTTACTTACTAATGTACATTGAATTCCCTTCTGTATCCTACCTTCTCAATTTTCCACCTACAACAGTAATTGCACCCGTCCCAATTATCCTAGGATAGCTTTTTACAAATAAAACTCAGTCTTTAAAGTATTACTGTCATGCGCTATGTCGTTCCTTTTTTCTCGTGCACCTGCTCTTTCCAAACAAATTCCATCGACGATATTGTATTTAGTTGTAGAATTATCAAAGTTTATTTCCAGAAGACTTCGAATGTGGAGAAAAAAAAAACACGGGCCATTAATTAATCCATTTTTTGTTGTACCGCTTGTACGGCAAACGCCTCAAATTAATAATACAAATAAACAACCAACAGGTATACGTGTTTCGTAACGATTATTATTATTTATTAGCGTTTGTATATTAACATTACACTTTAATTTGTAGTTTTTCACTTTTATTTGGTTTATAATACAATAGTATACATATTAGTCGTATTATAGTTTATAATATTTGCGAGCGGGTCGGATACATACTATTATTGTGTACAAAATTTCTCGACTGAAAAACAACTATATACCATAGGTACCCCCCACACTAATATAACAGAAAATTTATCGGAACACAAACTCACATAACGTCAGACGAAAACCGTAAACGAAATCTCTTATGAGCGAACGTTTAAATATATACTTTAAATTTAGAGTGAGAAATGTATTGGTTTACAATGATATTTATTTTTCAGACCCTGAGTGAAACGAAGAAGCTTATGGTTATGCTTATGGTTTAACAAAGATTTGTATACATGTATTTTTGGTTTTTACATCTATGCGCAACTTTTCTACCAGAAATCTTTCTCCGATTTTTATATGTAGCAAATTTCTAAAAGGAAATCGGACTGGGCAGGTACTTTCGGAAAGTCATTTTTTGATTTTCTCAGGAGTTTTTTCATCAAATATGAAAAACCGAAAAAAAAACTGGGAAAATATATGAAATGTAGGTATTGGTTAAAAATATTACGGCCTTCATTTTTCCTGTGAACAACTTTTTTTACCGGCAATTTTGCTTCAATTTACAATGATAGCACAATGATTGATAAAGCAAGACTATTCACCGAATTCCACTTAGAATCGTTTTACGTTAGCAATGTTTAATCGTTGCGTACAAATATACATTAAATTTCTCCTCTACCTTCCCAACTTCTCACCTACAACAGTAGGCTCACCCATCGTGCCAAGTAGGTCCGTATCTTTTTAAATACGTTAAACTGAAATCTTTTGAAATAATAAATAATATTACAAATAAATCGTTAGGTACAAAACGTGACTCTGACTTCCTGTATATATGAATAATCATCACTATTTTAGAAGAATATTTTTTATAATAGCGAAAAGTCAAACACCAAAAAAGTTATTTTAATCAATATTATGTTAAACAGCGAAAATGAAAACTTGTTTCATTTGATATTTTTATTTATTGAATTTACGTCTGGTACATAGGCTCAAGTACAGATACATAATAAGTATTCAACATAAATCCGATAACAAGTGATAGGAATAATGTATAAAATAAAATATTAATATTTTTGCCACCTAGCTAAATGTTGATTTGAAATACAATTTTCACGGTGTACGCCAGAAAATACAAAATATGAAACAATTTTTATAATAATAGCGTAACAGGAGTCGGATAAGTTTTTCTGTCTACAATAGCTATATATAGAGTTATAATTATGAATGGAGAGTATAGGCGTGAAATTCGATATCGTAAACATATTGAGGATATCGGAGTATCGAATACCGGCCACCGGGTAATATTTTCAGAGAACAATGTCTACACAATGTCGCTGGACAGTATGAAAAACACCAGAGCTCCGTCACTAAGTCCAATATTTTCTCCCGTCTATTTCGCGGTCTCAGAAATGTTTTGTGCAAAACAATATAAACAACCAAATATGTACTTTAAAATTAAATACGAAAATGGTTACATTTGCTTATGAAAATTATAGAGGGGTAGGGGAATTGAAATTTGAATTCCCTAAAAGACACATCCTTGATAATAACGCCACTCGTACACATAGTTTCGTCGCCCTGGGTTAATTTGAGGAGTCTGTAGGGGTGAACAAAGCTAAAAAATATCTTTCATCAGCAACAATATGGTTTAGTTCATATTGTTCATATACCATTCCGAATTGTATCAGTTTATTAAAAAAAGTTTTAAACGAGTCGGTTGTATTCAATGTGACGGGCAACTGCAAGACCTCAGAGCTATACTGAACATTATTACCGTGGACTAGAAACAAAAAACCACACGAATTCCGCCTCTTCTGTTTTGTTTTTTTTTTTTTATCATCATACGTTGTTTTTTTTCACTCGCTCTTCTTTTTCTTTTTTTTTTCTATCTCTTCTCTTCTAGTTTATTCTAGCTTTTTTTTTTTTTTGACCGAAACTTTATGAACGTTATGCGATATTAATCCCAAACTGTCGACGGTCGACGTCATATTAAAATATCTGACCATCTTCATCAGCGGTAACTTAATATAGATATATGTATATTACTGTAACTACAGTAATGTATAAAAATAATATATTCTAGTGATGGTTTTACTAAACGAGCGCGAGAAATTAATTCAATATTTCATAAACAAATTTATATTATGATTCGGTTATTTTTTTAACGTCGTATCAAATAAAAAATTAACATAATATTGTATTATTATAATATACCAGTAAAAGGCTAAAATTTTAGTGCAGTAAAAAAAAACTTTAAATTGTGTTATTATTATATATATATATATAACTAAAAACATGAAAAAATAAAGTAAAAAGCCAAACATACTTTGCACGATGAGTAGGCCACTGTTGTATGTGAGAAGTTGAGAAGGTATGAGGGAAATTTAATTTATATCTGTATGCAACAATTAACCATCACTAACAAAAAACAATTCCGAGCGAAGTTTCTTTTATGCATGCACGTAAATTTTCCCGGTTTTTTAAATTTTTTACCAGTTATTATGAAAACCACGTGAAAAATCAAAAAAATTACCTTCTTAAAGTACCACCCAGATAATATTTCCTTTCAGAAAAGGTACTATACTTGAAAGTCGTAGCAAGATTTCAAGTAGAAAAGTTGTTCACGGATAAAAAAAAAATTTTAAAATTGATGTCATTGTAAAAACAATACATACACTCCGAATATAAAATAACCAAATATGTTTCAAAATATACAGTTATTTGTACGATACAAATTGGGCAGTATAAAAAAATATAATTGTAAAACATATAAAAGATAAAATATTAAACAAAATATTTGAAACCAATGTTAAGATACGTTGGTATTTCCTGTCGTCTCCTATATAATATATTGTACACAAATAGATATATACCGACGAGATTAATCAACTATCAATATAAAATACAAAAAATTAAAAAAAAGAACAAACCAATTATATAATTGATTAAAACACGTCAAAGAACGATCTTTAGTTAATAATATAATGTAGATAATAACTTATACAAAATATAAGCCAATAAAGTTTGGCATTCTAGGAAAATTTCGGCTATTTTCAATGATATTTAAATGTGCCTTGTAAAACAATAGATAGAAAAAAAAAAATTAAAAAAAAATAGTGATGCATCTAAATATACATTCGAGTATGTAATATAGTTATACGCGTTGGCATAAATCTATTTGTACATTTACGTACTGTTCATGAAATAAAATTCAACTAGACAATTTTTCACCCGGTAAATACAACATTAAAGTAAATAAATAAAACAAAACCAAACTCTGTTAGGCCGTTATTTTAAATATTTTTCTATAAAAAGCGCAATTGGAAAATTGTTCTTCTAACAAACGTTCCAGCTTGAATTTGAAACAACGGAATTATTATTTCAAACCGAAGGTATTTAAACAGTTTTTCCCTCCCCGAGATTATCGAACAGAACATAAACTTTTTCGACATTTGACATTTTGATATATTTACCCCGTCTGATTATTTTATGCTACAATCATGAATATTTCATGGGTAACTGTTTTTTTATGCCGGGAGCGTATTTTAGGGGATCAATGTGAACGACGTTCCCGGATTTGTATTTTATAAACCAATTTAACATAAAGTACCTATATCACGAAACACATAATATGTTTAAAATTGTATAATTTTCAACAACGAATTTTCATTTTACTAAAAATATAACCAACTATCAAAATACAGATGTGACGTAACGTGTGTTAAGAACATCAACCGCTGATAAAATTTTAAAATATCGATTGTATGAAACTGGATTTTTATTATAAAGCATCTTTTATTTTTCTGTTTTTTTTTTTTTTTTTTTTAATTGAATGGTTTAAATTATGTTAATTGTGTTTACAATTGCTATAGTTGATTATTAAACAAATAATTAATATTGAAAACGGTAAAATGAACTTCAGATTGTTTAAGAAAATAATTACTTTACATAATATATTATAATTTGTGATGAAAGGCGTAGTTTTTGTTATTTGTATATAATTTACGGGGTTCAATCCTTTCAGAAACAGAAATTTATAAAATAAATTCAATTTAAAGTGTCTTTTCATTTCAACCCTTATCGCTACGTTGCTCGCTGTTTCTCGGTAATTTCTCTTTTAAAAAGGGTGCTTTCTTGTCTGTGACAATCCAATTAAATAGTAATAACTGTTTTTTTTTTCATCTGGGTCACCAAAATAACCAAATCAACAAAAAATTCTATTTTCTCTACAAAAAATAAAAAATACCTTTGTCAGCATTACCCTTTTATAATTGAATTTCGAGATAAAACTCTAACTTTCCTCTTGTTTTGTTTATAAAGTGTGTGCACACATTTTCTTCAAAATCGGAACGAAACTGTATATTAAATTTATACAGCCGATAGGCATAGAGACAAACGGACAAACTAAATTTAAATTTAATTTCTTTATAAGTAAGAATGGCTTAAGTGAATTTTACATAGTTTTCAATACAAGTAGATGAAATTTTAAAAATACATACACGTATGCAATTTACACCAAAAAATAATGGCAATAAAATCACATTTTCAAACATTTGGACAATTTTGGACAAAATTCACTAAATCCTTTCTACTCCGGAACCAAAATTATATACGATAGATTTGAATCGATTTCTACGTCAGTCGACCGATTAAATCGGGTCAATCGACCAAAATAATTAGATTGGTCAAAAACCCAACCCTACACATATCTTAACATAAAAAGCATTAAGTTGTATGATAGTTTGATAAAAATACAATTATTCGTGTTTGATTTTATAGTATATTGTATACAAAATTATTTCACATCAACAAAATTTGTTATTCAATAGCAACTGCTTTATCACCTTTTTGTTTTACAAATATTTTATAAGCATGACATTTTTCAATAAACAAGTTGGAAATCCCACTTTGCGTGCTAAATATATTTTAAGCAAAATACACGATTTTAAAATACTTTGGCAACCTAGTTTATTAAATATATGGCATCTCAATATGTAAAAATCGACAGGACATTTTTATAATTATTGAAGTCTTTTTATTTTCATACCTATTTTTCGATATCAGCTAGAGTAATTTTATATTTGACACTCAAAATTTAAATTAGTAATGTCACGAATAATATCTATCCCTTGCATGTTCTACCTGATCAACAATCGTAACTACGTAATGTATTAATATATGACGGTGTTTTGTGAAAATTCAAAAGAAATTTGTCTACTTAATAGAGGGCGCCCCACGAACATCTGATCGTTACGATATCTCGGAAATTATTAACTTTTTCGGAATATTTTTGTTTTCGTCAATTTAAAAAACAAACATGTAGCTCTAAAATGTTATAAAAGTATATACTTATTTACGGTATATAAAGTAAGGGTAAAAATTTAAAATAATTATTAACTGATTCCATAATGATTAAAAAAAAAAAAAAAAAAAAAAAAAAAAAAAAACANTATAAATCAAAAAGGCAACAAAAACGGTATCTTGTAATTTTTCGATTAAATCATTTTTTCTGGTAGAAAACGTCGTCCGTGTTTTTATAAAATAATGAAATCGTGAAACTGTACGTTTTCCTGCGTTTTTTCCCGCCTAAGTACTTTTATTTAAAAAACGGCGTCGAAAATCGAAAAAATAAAAATTTCAGAAAAGTTGGTACACGTGAAAATCGGAGCAAGTTTACTAGGAAAAAAACGTGTCCACGGACTAGAAGAAAAAAAAAAGAAACAAGATAGCTGCCTCGCTACGCTCGGAATCTAAAAAAAAAAAAAAAAAAAAAAACAGAAATCAAATTCACTTAAAATCCTCCGAGAAAATTGATGGTTTATGATAAAAAAAAAAAAAAAATCACCCTGTATATATAAGTAACAAATGAGTACCTACAGGTACATTATTATGAGTACATTAATTTTACACATTAAAATATCTAACTACATAAACCATACGATTTCCGAGTAAATATGAAATTGTTGAATGTTCGTTAAATAAAGGCGATTCTATAACTATGGTTTACAATCGATTAATACGCACGCCCCGTTGAATCGTCGGACTACCTTTACTACACACGAAAACGTAGTTTCGAAAAAGTCAATTACTTAAAACGTGCCATTCGCCACACACTGAACCATTCAGTTTCCAAAAATGTTAGCATCGTTTTGTTTCAAACGAGTACGGGTCGGTTTTTGAAAAATGATCGCTACACGTTCCAAAAATTCTTCTTTCGATTCTCGGTAACGCGGTACCGATTCTTCTTTTGTTGACGTGAAAAAATTAAGGACTGGCTTTCACATATTATAATACTCGCGTGTATGGGACAAATTATTTTTTAATATTTCGCAAATATTCAATACTATATTTAAACCTAAAATCGTGTTCGACAGATGTTTTCCTAGCGGTCTCTTCTGAATCGTCATCAATGTTCTCACGTTTCAACGTATCATTAATCAGCGTTGCACTGGTACCATAGTAATAAGGCGTCCTTTAATAATAACTGCTTCAGACGTTTAAAAAAAGAAACAAATTATCGGTTTTTAAAGGACCGACAGAACCGATAAGAACTAATCATAACCGAAACCGGTCCGTCTCTAATTATAAATGATGTGACACTATGAAGTAGTACCGATGACGCAGTAATTAGGTAGGCACATAAATATTCAGTGAAGTGCTTTTTAATCATTTAGATTTTGAGTGGTGCGAGGCATATGTATTGGTTTTACAATGACGTTTTTTCTTTCTTTTTTTTTTTCGACAAATTTTCTACCAGCAATCTTCCTCCGATTTACAATGTTAGCACTTTTTCAAAATATAATAAATAAATATATAAATAAAAAAATTATGTATAGAAATAAAAAATAAAAATAAATTAATTAAATAATGCGTCGCCTGGAATATTATGGTAAGTGTATTATACGACCGGTTTCGAATTAAAAATTCATCATCAGGTGTATCACAATCACGTTTTACATTTATTTACGAGTATTAACTATTTTCTGACCGTGGAGATATTTTAAGAAGGTATTTTTTTTATTTTCCCGGGAGTTTTCCTAATAATGGAGAAAAGCCTGGGAAATAAGTCGGGAAGACGGGAAAAAAGATACATTATTAAACAAATATTATTAAAGAAGATGTTTAATGCACACCTATGTAATTAATTTACCATAATATGGCATATATATTGTTGACAAAGCAAGACTATCAACTGAACTCCACTCAGAATCGTTTTTCGCCATCAATGGTTAGCCGTTACTTACAGATATACATTAAATTTCCGTACATATGCTTCCCAACTTCCCAACTACAACAATGACTGCACTCGTCCCCATTATCCTAGGACAAATTTTTTTTCTTTTATGAATTTTAGATTTCTAAGCATAAGTTAAGATACCTTATACGTCTGTTGTGTTCGTCCGTCCATAATTAACACATAATGGTTACGGCTGTTGGTTCGGTTGACAAGGATATATTATATTATACCATTCGTAATATTGTTATCATTATTACAGCTTTAAATATGAATTCTTTGTGTTATTATCATTGTTTATTTAAATATGAGTGTTAAATATATATATATGTTTATATTTATACTATCCAAAGTTTTTTAAAAAAAAAAACATCAGCACACATCATAGTAAAACCAAATTATAAAGTAATAATATTATATAAGTAGTACTTATTTTTTTTTAAATGTTCTGTGTTCTGTCAACTATTTACAAATCAAGATTTTCAATTTATTCAGGTATTTTCAACATAAATATACTATAGGTTACCAAAGTTTTTCAAAATTGTATATACTCAAGGCCTAAAATACATCCGATTTCAGGAGACACACTTTTTAATTAGATTATTGGATAGAGTTGATAGATTTCCATAGCCAAAATAAAAACCTGTGGGATGGGGGGGGGAGCGTAGTTCTTTATACATCACTTACCTTACACATATAATATTATATATAAAAAGGACGACTAAAAATTATGGAAGCAAAATAAATATAAGTAAAAGTTTAAAAAAGACGGACGTACTTCGCACGATGGGTGGGCCGCTGTTGTGGGTGAGAGATTAGAAACGTAGAATTTAGAGGGGGAAATTATTTTAATTTATATCTATACGCAACGATGAATATTAGCTAACGAAAAACGATTCTGAACGGAGTTCGGTTGTGCATGTTTAAAAGGCCGTAATATTTACAATTCTCGTCAAAATTTGATATTAAAATTCTTATAAAAAAAAAAATATATTACATTAAACTCAACTTTTTCTTATTAGCCACTAATTACAACTTATAATTAACTTCCTGTTAAGTCATCAAGCATTTCTATTTTGTCTAAAAATTGTATCCACAGAGAACTACCGAATAAATATTACGTAAAAACTCGCAAAATTAAAATGTCTAATAGCTTACAAATTACTCAAATGTTTTGAAGATTTGATCACGTCAAGAAAAAGGCAAATATAAAGATTCTACCAAATATAACAAAATTTAAAATAATAAAAGCATTATTTTCGTATATTTTTCCGTTTTTTTTCCCCATTTATTGGGAAAACTCCTGGTAAAATCAAAAAATGATCGCCCCAAAGTACCATCCCAGGATAATTCTCTTTCAGATAAAGTCCTATATTTGATACTTCAGAGCAATATTTCTGGTAGAATTATTGTACACAATATAAAAAAAATAAAATAATAAACATCTTTGTAAAACCAATACATTCCTCGCTACGTTCTAGAATCTAAAATGGCACTAATATGAAACAATTTAAAATATTTAGCATATGTTGTTGGTTAAAGTGAGCTCATTAGTTGATTGTTTTTTATCAACTTTACTGTTATGTCTACAATTAAAACTAATATAAATGTCATAAAAATTGGTACACACATTTTTAATTCAAGGGACACATTATTTTACTCCCTGCATCAACAATAATTTATTGTTTAAAATACGTTTAGAAACCGGAAACTTCGGTCGCTCATAGAGTGTGCTTTTCTTATATTATTTATTTAATATCTCTGTAATCGATTTCGTTCAAATAAAATATAGGCTTAAAATTATTATTATTATTATTTTTTTTTTTTTTTTTTTTTTTTTTTTATATAGAATTTATTGACTCTCAAGTTTGCCATCATATAAACGATATAAAGCTTTGAACGAGTACCGTCCATTTTATTATTACTTTTTGTCCCCGATGGCGTCTATAGTATAATACATCAATGACACTATCAAAAAGGATATTATGTCCGAAATAATAATACTGAACATAAAGCGACCGAGGAAGTTTAATATTAAATTGAATTTCCTTTGATGAGTTTAACAGAGAAACGTATATTTAACCGTCAGGTTTCATGGACTTCAGGCGCAAGTCAGATACACCTATGCATAGGGTCTAGAAAGTTTCGAGATCCTAAAAGTATAATATCCTTATTCCTCTAATATAATAATCACAAAACTACGACACAGAAACATGACATTAATATTAAACTTTTTGAAAATTATAATGAAAATAACAAGAAGTGCATATTATAAAATATAGGTAGAATTATTTTTCGCTTTAATACCGATATTTATAGTTACCTACAGTAATATTATACAAAAATCCACGATTCTAAAATTGTAATACGATTACATATAATAACGACTTTTGTTTCTGTTAATTGGGTATTAGAATAATGTCGATTTAAAATTTTAAAAAAAATTAGCGACTCGCAAAAAACCGCAATAATAAATAAATGTATAAAAGGCAGTACAACTTTTTCCCATTCCCGTCGGTCGTAACACAAACTCACAAGAAATTGTGCACACGTATTCCTCGAGACTCGGGGAAGTTTTGTAATTTCGTTTTTTCACCCGTAAAGGTTTCTATGGGATGGCTCCCATATGAATTGCGCTTCGGCTCATGAAAATCGAACTTTTTTTTGTATATTGTATAGGGCAGCGGTCCTTAAACTTTTAGTGCGCGCGGACCCCCGACGAAAGACTTTTAGAAATCGCGGACCCCCTACCAATAGCTTTACAAAATTATCGTATTTTATTATAATCAATATTTGCCGATAGAGCCGCCGTGGACCCCCAAGGGCCCCCCGAGGACCACAGTTCGAGAACCGCCGGTATAGGGTACGGATACGGATAATAAAATAGTTACGGAAAGATATTGAGCACGGACAAAGGTAAACGAAACAGCTATTCACGGTTAATACAGGTGAACTGCAGTGATACTGTCGGGGACGGAAACGGATAATCGCGGGAAAACACGTATTTATTTGTTTACGTTTTTTTATCGTTAAATACTGACATGGACAGTTAATTCATACTGATTTTTAATGGTTCACAGCGAAAAGTGTTTTTTTTTTTTTTTTTTGCATATGGCGTATTGTACTAGACTCCAAGGGCGAAATTAATACACCACATTGTTTTGATGAACAATATACTCGTGGACCAAACGATATCGAATTTACCGTCAGTTAAAAACTATTATGGTTTCATTACCGTGTTTTATTATAGAACTACGCGCGCCAATTAAACTGTACGACGACATGTGAATCGCATATAATTTCGCAGTGTAACTAGGGCTGGCATAATAGTACTCTTGCCGAATAGTTTTAAAGTTTAAACGCGCAGAATTAGAATGCGAATTAAAAAGTCGAATCGAATAATATTATTAGTAGGCCTGTCGGAACAAAAAAAAAAAAAAAAACGAAACGGAAACGTCCTATAAATAATACGACGGTTTTGGCGGTGTATATATTGACGGCAGATACTTACAGTTGTGCGTTTTCGTGAATCAGTTACCGCGCATTCGGTCTTGGCGGGGCGCGATCGAAAATCATTTTTTGGAATTTTCCGGTTCGTTAGACGGGTGGATGGTGTACGGTATGGGCGACGGTTGGCGGTCGAATATTTTCGTTGCTATAATGACGGCCGATACGGTATTGTTTTTGATCGTTTTGTTCGCAGGCCGAGTGGCGTTGAGATTCCTTAACCAGTACGGCATACAAATAACCGAAGAACTGTATCCGGCCATCGGGCCCGTACTCGACGACATCCAAAGGGACATGTGCAACAAGATGTTGACGTTGTATCCGTACGACGTTTTACTTCCGCCCACCAGAGTGAAGTAACAACTGCGGCGCCGGGGATCCTGCGATTTTACTTACCCAGCAAATAGTACTATACGACATACGAAATACGCTTACGATATTATATACGTGTGCTGTTTTGATTAAACTGTACTTACGATTAAAAACATACAGAGTCACTTGATAAAAAAAAATAAATAAATAAATAAATAAATAAAACCTGTATTATTTTATTTGACAATATTGAAATCCATTATTGATATTACCTCGCACAGTACATAGTAATAATATTATGTTTCGTATTGTGTGCGAAATACGACTATTCAAAACGAACAAGACTAGTACCAACGGTGGACCTTGACAAATTCCGAGGGGGGGGGGGGAAGGGAGTGAAATATTTTCACATAAAATACAATTATTAAAAATATTAGCCTTAATAAAAAAAATAGTTTGTTAAATTTAAAAATTAATTTCATGTAATATTACAAAATAATAGTTCTTTTTCGGGTTTTTTTTTTTTTTTTTGCAGATCTGTCTATAATATTTTAGTTGATGGTGTCTGCCCCGCCACATTATCATGACCGTATCACAGAATAGGTGAAACCTAGTGTTGCCAAAAAATATTAAAATCATTGATTTTTTCTCGCTTTGTTACCATAATTATTATTAACTATAAAATAATGTAAAACATGTATCAGGGTTTTGTTGTAATACAATATAGGCCAAGGAAAGGGCGATCTACTCATCGCCCCCCCCCCCATAGAAACGCCACTAATTAGTACTCAGACTCATATTACATATAATACTCCTGTTGCAGTTTTCTCCCATATCATCAAAGTGATACGGTATCGACAAAACGTACACGCATAGTTTTAAATATTATCTCGATTTTTTGTAATTTTTTTTATTCGGAATCAGAACTAAACAAATTTTCTCACGGAATTTATACAAAGTAATGTGTGTGTAAATATTTTATTATTGAGTATACCTATCAAAAAAAAAAAAAAAAACAATGTCTGATATTTTCGTTTCTGGTAAAAATTTCTCAAAAAAATACAAATTTTAATGGGTTTGAGGAGGGTCGATCGGTGTTTTTATTTATTTGTGTAAAAAAAAAAAAAAAATCATATTTTTGTGTCCATTTGTTTCCGCCCATCTGTATTAATGATCATAAAATCAGATTCTACTTTATGCGGGATTTTTTTTTTTGTAAATATTTCAATTTTAAACCTTTCTAAAATTGTATTCACGAATGTAAACATGTTTTTTAACGGTCTTCGCTCGTTTTTACATAATTAATATAACCAGAGATTCGATATGCGTAATTGATGATTACGTCATACTGTTCTTATCGTTCTATTATCGGTAATAATTGGTTTATTCGGATCCAAACGGTTTAATAAGCCCATATTTTTTTTTTAAACGATATTATTATATTTTATGATTAAATATGAGTATAGGTACATACAAACTAAAATTTGATTATTATCATAAATAATAATTACACTCAAATGAGGTCATGAGTACATAAAATGAACTTAGAATATTCGAGTTTTAAAATTACTTTACATCGCATCTACGGCGTCCAAAAAGTAACCAAGTGCAAACCCGTCGTTTATAAACGCCTTATTAATTCATCCCCGGACACTCTATATAACGTACGAAACAAGTGTCCGGCAAGGTATCATAAAAATGAAAATTATTCCCGCGTACAGCCAATAACAATGTATAGCATGTATCAGTACAAATCGAGAGGTAAAGTGCTTAACAATCGCGTGTGCAACACGGTACAATAACGTTTTAATACACATATACCTACTTTACCTTTCCTCGATTTGTCAACAGTCAACACGTTGATATAATTATGACAAAGGAGAGGCCCGGACAACGTGTACGTTACGTTTTAGATTCTGAGCGTAACGATTTTCCGTAATATTTTTTTATGCACAAATAGATAAAATTATTAAAGTAATTTATAACGTACAATTACCATTATTATCTGGTTAAATTATTAGGTATTTACCGTGGTTTACGCGTTTCGCTTCGAACAGCTATCGCGTGGACGTAACGGGTCACCTGGGTACCTAAGTGGCTAAGTGTATAGTGTACTAGGGAGGTTCTATAGGACCTAAAAATAAGCTTCTTTTTTTTTTTTTTTATTATTTATAATATCGACAAAATATTTTATTCGTGTATTTCATAAATAATAATAGTAGAACAAAGTTCAGATTACCTACAAAAAATGCATTCGATGTGTAATAAAGTAAAACAAGTTGTGATACATTTATATATATATAAAAAAAAAAAAAAAAATCGTAAATTAAATGTTTAGTCGCTTATTACAAACGTCCGTGTAAAGTGTTATTATAATGGGTCTATTGTCCCCGTGCGGCTGTGATGCGTCTATAATTTTAACACTCCCAAAGTTGGTAGTCTAGTCGCACCTATGGTATTATATAGCTGACGATTTACAAACGGATACAAAACAACGCATCAGCGAAAAACAGTATAGGTATTGCCTATTTTACCTATATTTACCTATTACTATTAAAAGGTATGCGCGTTTGCACAAATAATTGTATTTTTTTTTTTTTTTATTCCACTTTTGTGTACTTTAGATTGGTGATCCGCCGGTATGTAAGAATAATATTTCGAAGCGCAATAAGAGGTGTGTCCAAAACGTGTGACTGTTTGAATTGCGCACCGTGAGCAGTAGGATTGATATCATTGGGTTCTGTGACTTTTCTTGAGCGCATCCGGTTTTGTAAATTGTCTATAATCTTCTTGGTATTGGTGTCATAGGTGTTTTTGATTTTTTTTTCGCCTTTGGGCGATTTCGTAATAAATCCAAAAGAAGACTTTTTTTTAGATGGGGGGGGAGGATTTTTTCATCCATTTTGTTAACAGATTATTATTTGATAAAGGAACGCAACGTTTCACCACAAAACTTTTGCCAACAAATTGTAACTGAAAAACTGCAGATGTGCCGATTGAAAGTTTTACTCGAGAATGTGGAGGAAGGTCCAAGTTCAGGTTTATTAGAAACTTTTTAGTATAGTTAATGGCAATAAAAACTTTTAAACAATTTATCCTAATAATAATAATTACCTGTATCATTATGTTATACCGTCAAAATGATAGGAAAATCTTCTCCAACTCTCTCCCCCTGCCCCCTCCCCCCGAGAAAAGCTCTTCTTTTCATTGCGCAATTACCAAAAGCGAAATAAAATATTTTCAGAAAACATCGGCCACATCAAAACAATGAGAAGAGTTATAGAGAATCTACAAAATATACAGATGTACTCCGAAGAAGTCACAGAATCCGTATAGTAATATCAATCCTGGTGCTGTTGCAGGACGCGTAGTTCAAACCAGTCCTGGAACTTTTTCAATAGTCCTCGTGTACAAAATGGATTTTCTGCCGTTTATTCACCGCAAATCGATAACGCGAGTTTTCAATTCCCGCAGTAGCAAGTATACGCGATAAGTATATGCAGGTACGTGCAGTAATAATAATAACAATTAACCCGGACGATCGAGAGATATTTTTTTTTTTTACGTCGTCGTGTAATTTGGTACCGCTATGTTTATTTTGTTAATTAAATTGTTTTAACAAAAATATTTTTAACGTTTTATTCTAATATTAGTCCTGGCCGCACTATAAGTGTTTAAACAGTTTTTCGTGACGGCCGTTCCGCGAAACGGAATAATTATTCAAATTTGTTTAACGTGTAAGCCACCGCGGGTGTATAATATTTCATAAATAACATTAAAACGTTAATAAAAAAAAAAAATGTATACGTATATATATATATATATTATGTGTGTATAAAAAATATATGTAATTCTACTTTATTTTTTTCAACACGCAAACAAATTGTGTACTAGGTATACGATAGAATTAAACGAGTAATATAGTTTTTGTTACGTACACCAAAGTATAATTTTTTTTTTTTTTTTTTTTTTTTTATTATTAAAATCGTGAACATTTGAATTTCTAAAACGGGCAGTTTTGTATTTACACGAACACAATATAAATATTACGATAATTTTAAGTGCTGCATAAGCCACATGACATGATGATGATAATAATAATTATGCTACACTAAACTACTGTTTTTTTTTTTATATATACTATCGTGTACGCTATAATAATATCTACACCGGCGGCGCAACCGAACGCGGGGGAGGGGAGCGGGCACGCGGATTCCTTGGACCGTGTAAATGTTTGGACAAAAAACGAAAATTGTTGATTTTAATTCTGTTGTTTATCGTCGGTAAATTATAATTTCAGAGTTTCGGAACATATAATCTATTCGCCGTACGAACCGGAAAACAGATTAAAGGGGATTAGATTAATGGGCGTATAACAGCTCTCGTCCAATGTGCACTCTGACGCGTAGGTTACGGTCAGCGGTTAAAGTGGGAAAAACTTTCGAGGGGCCGTATATTTACCGAAAATTGATTGGGCGTTCCCGAGGACTAACTTGTAAGCTGATCAAACTTTCACGGAAACCCGTCGTCGTGGAGAAAACACTTTCGAAATATTTTCCTCTCGCACACATTCGTTCAACACCAATGTTATACCAATAGTTTTTAAAAATAAACTGCACCCCCCCCCTTCACTCAAATATGGTCCTACGCGTATGCCCGCTCAGTAAAAATAAAGTAAAAAACTGATGAGTGTGATGGGGTGTAATGCCGAAGTTGTTTTTAATAAAACTACTTCGATTTTTTACGATATCATTAAAAATGTCTCAGCGACAATAACTAAAACGCTTCTCCGGGTTCCAAAGACTTAGTCTAAAGGGCGTTGATAATTAAACTTTAAACAAGAAGGGTGACTTTGTGGCTGTTGAAAGGAATGATATTGGATTTTTAACGGTGAACATTCGATACTGCATATATTGTTACTATAAATACCCGAGGAAAAATGCAAAATTTAATGAAAAAATTAAATCATTTCCTTTTTCAATTCAAAGTCTTGTCAAATATTGTACACCGTTGCATTACCGTTGCACAGTCGTAACATTAAATTAACACGTTTATTTTATTACTTGTAATATAGTCACGCTGTTTCACTAAGCTTTGATGAAAATTGCATTATCCGTTGGGTGTTCGTGCATGTTATATAAGTTATAGCGCACACGAACAGTTATAAATTATAACTGAACAATTTGTATTTTAACGTGCGATGAAATAATTTATTGCGTTCGGGTCCCCCTCTCACGTGGTTGCACCACTGGTCTACACACTATTAAGTCGCGATTTAAAGAAACAAAACGGATTACTCGCAAAACAAAAAACACTTCGCGCAGGGTACAAAAACCGAATACAATCAAAGTTGTGGTTTGGACCATACCCGCTGTAACTCGTTGTTTCTATGACGTACACCGTTTGAAGCCGTTAAGAGGACGATACACCCGCATGCGCTGTCTCAGTCCAGCCTACGGGCGATGTAGCAAAGTCCTACATGACAGACTGAACTCGCGTGATTTTGGTTTTAGAGTAAAATCGCCTGTAATAACATTAAAAGACGACAATATTCCGGAGGGCAAGACGATGCGTTTTTCCAATTATCCGAATTGTTATTCCGGCTATAGCGTCCGATACATCGTTTAGAAATAAAAACTAATTTATCGTTTTTAAATGACTGTAACGTTTCAAAAAATAAATTAAAAAAAAAAAAATAAAACACATCGTCTTGCCCTCCGGAATATTGTCCGCTTTTATAGTAGATGATTTTACTCTAAAACCAAAATTAATCGAATCTGCGTAAATGAGACTTTGCTATATTGCCCGTTAGTTATTGGACATGTACATGCGGGTACAGCGTTCCCATAACTGCATACTGCATATGCTTTTTACAGATTGCGCGGACATGTAAAAACGTTTTTATACTTTATAATGGTTTTTTTTTTTTTTTGTTCCGGTTATTTTTCTTAAAAAAAAATATAATAAATAAAATATTAAAAATAAAAAACACGTGTCAACAAACACTATGATAAATATTACGATAGTGATAATACGTTCGCCGTCATATCAGCGGCTTGATCAGCGTTTTGAAGAGGTATTTCATTTTGAACGCGGCCACGTGCCCGGCCATTTCCATCTTTTCGAAAAACGCGTTCATGGCGATCAAAATGAACTTTTCGATTTTGCTAAGCGCGGTCCTCGACTGCCCGCGGCGGCGTACGGCGCGCGGCGTCCCGAGAGTTTTGCCGGCGGCCGCCGTGTCCTCGCCGCGATCGACGCCCGGCGACCCGTACCGCCGCGGGCCCACCGTCGCGTCGCGGTAGCCGGCGGCGGATTTGTACCGGCCCGCGATCGTCTCGGGATGGCACCCGGTGCGCGGGCCTACGGCGGCGGCGGCGGCGGCTGCTGCTGCTGTTGACGCGTCGTCGTCGTTGTCGTCGACCGGCCACGGCTGCAGTCCTAAAATCAAAAGCGCCAACGACAATAATTTCCCGACGGTCTCCGTCCCCGGGGAGTTTAGTCGCGCACCACACCGACTGACTGCGGAGGGAGGGGAGGGGGGTTGGTTGACGACAATGTTCGATCGAATAAATCGATACTCTCCGAGCTATAAACAGGAAAAAGTCTCGGAAACGCGGTAGGTTTTATGATACGTATATTATTGTCAAGGTGATTTAGATTGCAACGACAAAGCATTAAAAACGAAAAACGTTTCTGAGCGGAGTCCGGTTAGTATTATAATAGCTTGATAAATGTCTATTGTTGGTTTTCTAAAGTACGCAAATCTTTAATAACGAAACAAATCAAATCGTTAACGGTCGTGTATTTTACGCATTTTACTACTAAGTAAATCTATACAATAATTATCATGAATCCATGCGTCGTATCGAATTTGTGTCAAATCAATTCCGTCCGCATAATACCGAAAAAACCAACTTCAAACAACTGTAATTGACTCGAAAAACGCCAGCATGTTTTGTAAACATGTTGTACCGCGTCTGTAAAGTGTGATATATTATTATTACAAGCATTGTTCGGTGCAAAATTCAGGTCTCGACAATTATTTTTCACTGAATTGCAAAAAAAAAAAGCAAAACAAAACAAAACGAAACTTATACTAACAGACACTAAATTATAAATATTCCCGTTTTTCCCATATTTTTTTCTCGGGGTTTCCCCATTATTAAGAACACCACAAGGAAAATCGAAAACTCACCTGTCCAACTACGTGTCAACTAGACAAAACTCGCTATCGGAATATACCCCCGATGTCGATGATTGGAGTCAAATGTTTACATTATTTCTCCTGCACCGCAGACCCGCAGTAAAACCAATAAATTTACTCGGTTCGGTATCAAAATCTTAAACCTATACAACTATTTTATCACCCGCATTACAAATAATTTTTGACGAGCAAATAACAATGGAAAACCGTCAGGGGCTTAGAGTATAAATTATTATCTACAACATGATTTTATAAGAAATGTTTGATCTCTTGTGACGCCCGGTGTATCGAATTTTCTTCGATTTTTTTAAAATTTAAGATAAAGACTTTACCACCAATCCACTGTCCGATACATATTTAAGAGGACGGGGGTTGAAAGAGTACGGCCTTTTTTTTATGGACGAAAATTACTTCACGGGAAAAGGAATGCATTGTCGGCATAGTATATTTGCCTATCTGATTTTTTCTCATATTTATACGCAATCCATGTGTTTTACGGGCGTCATTGAACTCGGATTTTTCATTTGATTTCGAACAACGGTATAAAAACGTTGGTAAACTGTACAGTTTAAATGTTGACCTTATTGTTTTTAACAGTAAGGCATTATTATTCAGAGTTTAAGACGAAAATGTTGAAAAACGGAGTTCAGCGCACACTCCGTATAGGAAGTCTTTTATTTATAAAAAAATGAAATTTAACAATGTAGTGAATTATGCGAAATATGAGCGCTTTCCCCGCAAGACATGTTTTTGAATAGAAAAAAACGCAATGATAACGTACCCCTCAAAAAATATTAATAATAATACGTCGACTATACACGTATTTCCGTTTGCCTAATGTATTATTATAACCCGCGCAAACCGTTCATCAAATATACTTGTATTTTAGTTGTATACCTGCGAAATATTTACTAGAGTGATATTATCAAATATTACGGACTCGTAGAGAAACTACGACTGTGTATAATATTACTATAATAATACCTCCCGCGCAGTAAATTATGCACTGCATGTACGGCTTTGAAGTTTATGGAAGAACTTGGTTACGTTGTTCGAGTATATATTGCGCGTAATAGCCGTGTATATAATTATACGTACAGGGTATCGCAGTCGCAAAAAGACCCGGCAAACGCATTAACTTTCGTCGTTCGATATTTATGTATTTATTTTTATTTTTAAATTCGGAGCGCAGCGAAGATTGCATCGGTTTTATAGTGATTTTTGTTCTTGTATTTATTTTTCAAAGGAAGAAAATTGTACACGGGTGGTACTTCAAGCTGGTCATTTTTTCGTTTTTCCAAGTGGTTTTCATAATAAAAACGTAGGAAAAACGGAAAAATTTACGTACATGTACAAAAGAAACTTCGCTCCAGATATGAACTAAATTCCCCACCTATACCCTACCTTCCAAACTTCTCACCCTCCAACAATGGCCACCAATCATTATATTAAACTTCAAAAACTAATATCCATTGATTTACCAATTTTTCGATGAAAAATAATTTTATTACTGATTTGTATAAACTTCAATGAATTATATAGTCTTGGCGATTTGTAACACTAATATTTTATCTAAAATGACGTTTTTGAATTATGTAAAAACAACTTTTTCAAAAATTAAATTTTGTATTCTTAGTTAGCAAAAAAATATAAAAATATTAAATAGAAGCATCATATCTCAAGTCTTTTTTACTTATTAAAGAAAAATCAAAAATGTTGAACTAAACAAAAGTTATATTGCATTTGTCGAATCCTTGCGGGACAACCAGTATGTATGAGTACTCAGTGCCAAGGACGTTCATCAAGGGGTGCGAGGGGGTGACATGTCAAAAATTGAAAATTGAAATTTTGCATTTGTTTTAGTTATAACGAATTAATATTTCTAATGATAAAGACAAGAAGTACTATGGGAGAATATAAGTCGGATGGACTGTGTATGCTCAGTGATCATAGACAAAAAGTCCATAGCGACACTGAGTTTGTTGCAAAAGTAGTTGGAAAATTTAGTTCGCAAAAACGCAATTTACGGTTTTTGTTTTAGAATATTTGTTTAATTGTTCATATGTAAAGTTTATGTTTGTTTCGTCATTTAATAAAAGTAATTTTGTTGGTTCTTGGTTTTTAAGTTGTTTTATTTCTGTTTGGTGTTTGTCGCCCCCTTAGGTTTTGACAGACTGACTCCCTCGGTACTTATACGGACTACGGTTACTTATAGAAGTAAGCTCCGCATTGATATTGTTATTGTTATTATAATAATACAATACGTAACACCTACGCCCGATATATTGTCGGCTCATTATTTATTATAAATATTTTACGCAACGAGATCAATATAAACAACACCTATATTACAATGTTTTCGAGTACTCGCATGCGCCACGGCTCTGTGATTTTTTTGTTGAGTGGCATTATGCAGTTCACACGAGCCACTTATAATGTACGCTAATTGTCGACAGAGAAATATTGAACTGCCGGTACACGACACACACGGTTCTAACGTATATTTTTTTATTATTATTATTTTTATTTTTTTTTTTAAATCATTATTATTATAAATAGAGCCACAACAACAAAGACTATTGGCTATTAATATTTATCATTGATTTACGTACAGAATGTACACTTGAATATTACACACAGAATGAATACTTAACTTAGCGTTTCACTTTTTCTTTTTTTCTTTTTTTTTTTTAGATAAGTGTTAGGTTATGGGTAGTTTAAAACGTTTGAAGATAATATTATATTGAATTGAATAAATTAGTTGTTTTTAAGAATCTGAATATCTTTTTGGTATCCCCGGATATGAGTTGGCCGATACACACGCCAAACTGGCCATCACAATACCTACGTGTATTACGGAATTTCGACTGTGGTCTCACAGATTTTCGACACGTTTAGCCGTACCGACTATTATTATAATATCTGTACGATATTTTGCAATTTTTTTGCTCGTGTATGTATAAAATGTATTTGAATCGAAAATGAAATATTATTCGTCGTAAATTATGCATTTTTCTCGGGCGTTTTTTTCCCCCCGCCGAATCGAGTACACATAAACATCTCCTGCAAGAATATTATATCGTTGTACTTTATTAACCTACTGCGGGCACGGGCATACGATATAATGTTTTTATCGATCGTTTGCCGGTCGAGTAGACCTCATGGGCTAGTCGGAATAATAAATTATCGCGTATTTATATATACATATATATCTAACTCTAATCGTGAATAATAATAACAATTTCGTTCGTACGAATGTTATAATACCGAAATGAATAATTTCGATGTAGAAAAAAAAAAAGTACGCTGTGTTCAACGTTGTTAATGTCCTGGTATTTTAGAGAGAAAGAATAAAAAACAGATCGCTCAATAATATTCCGTATATACCGCCCGTAAAATAATATTAGTTTATTTATTTTTTTTTTTTTTTTCGTAACGATTAACATAATACGAGTTATTAGTTTACTTACCCGCGATCAGACCCGCGAACACGAGTAATAAAGCGACAAATCCTTTCATCATCGCCGTGTCTGGAAATCGCCGAGAATTATTACCGTCCGGCTGCAGTGCGACGACGGGTTCATGAGCGAGTTATACGGCGAAAGAAAAAACGCACAAAATCGTATCGCGGTTCGCTTCGACTGCGCTGTCAAACCGCTAATGGACCTGGAAACGATATTATTCCCTCGGACCCGTCGCAGTATTTCGCACCTACGGTCCTGTCGATAATTTGGTCGTTAATAATATATCATATACAGACAGCACAAGTCATCATTCGTAACGGTGTTGGCCTCTCAACGGGGCGAAACGATTGGGAAATGACAAAAATCGAACGATCGACTGATTTAGCTCCGCGACGTGGATGTTTCCGGTGTGCCCCGTGGTAAATAGGTACATAATTATAGATAATAGAATTTATAAACGTGTACGCTGTATACCTATATTTCATGAATTTTAAACCAGCAAAATGCGCATACAAAAAAAAAAAAGAAGAAAAAATAACGTCCAACCCATTATACAGTAACGTGACAAATGCTGTTTTTTTCAAAACGCATGCGTCTCAATTGGTGGACAGGACGTGGGTGGTTAAAAACGTATAATACACCGTAAAAACCGAAGGGTATTGAAGGGGAGGGGGTAAACTTGTGTTTAAGGTATAGCTATTGCAAGAATGTAAACTGAAAATAAATTTCGAAGGTTGGAGTGCATAACAATTATTCATTTCATAACTGTACATTACAAACTTTCACAAACTTGAAAGTTACTATCGCAATAGTAAGACCGTTATCACAATAATTTACTATCGCTATCATAATAACGTGTTCTGGACGCAATGAGCATGCATGATAGTAATAGTACATATACTATTATTAAAAAGTTGTCCTATAATATTGCGGACAGATGCAGTCACTATTGTAGATGGGAAGCAACGTTTAAACGAAAAACGATTCTGAGTGAAGTTCAGTTGCTTTGTCAACGATATATATGTCATATTGGGGCAAAATAATAACATAATTTATACATTAAACATTTTCTTTACATTTGTTAATATCGTACCTATTTTTCCGTTTTCCCGTGTTTTTTTCCACTTATTGGGAAAGCTCGTGAGAAAATCAAAAAAATTGCCGGTAGAAAAGTTGTCCACAGAAAAAAAAAAAAAAAAAAACGTTATTGTAAAACCAGTACATTCCATACTGCTCGCTCCACTCAAAATCTAAAATGTTATCCGAACAAGTTGAGTTAGCCTATTCGATTATGAACTCGAATACTATTTAAAATTGCATAGCAAGTATAATTATTAAATATTATTATTCCTCCTTACTTGTTAAAAGGACGCGGTAATATCGCAGAAAACTGCTGTGCTTTACACGCGGAAACAAAATTCAACGCGCCACTGACGGTGTCACTGTATATAATATGTTAATTATTAAAAAAATAATAATTGTATTTCTCGTGTAAACTCGAAATATTATTATTATGGGTAATCGTTACGCATAAATAACACTTAACTATTATTTGTTATAAATTATAATTATAACAAATAGTAATTAATGATGTTGTTAAAAACAATGTCCTAAACATTATTATACACAAACGATATTATAATTGTGAAAAATACGCTCAACATATTATAACATTTTAATTTCAATAATATGCAAGAGAAACCGCAGCAGCGCTATAATAATATGTCTCGCATGGAAAAAAAAAAAAAACTAAAAGTCACCTTAACCGTTTAAATAATTTTAAGTTACAATGAACCCGAGTTCGCATGTGACGTATACGTATAAATATAATTTAATGACTGCTAAACAAATATTATATAGTTTATAGTTATAGACTTGACGGACAGTTTTAGTAAGATTATTATGATCATTGCGGTTATTATACCGTTACCGTAATGTTCTACAACTTTGGCCGTTTTGGACGAACATGTGCGTCCGAATAAGTGTTTCGAACGGTTCGTAGTGATAATTTAATAACGCCACGAACTATTCGGAATCGTATCGAACGAAGTACGCGTTGCGTGCGCTGGCAAACTTCATGAACCAACTGAACAAATAACTCACCGGTGGTTTATAGTAAGTTAATATTTAATAATACAATTAATACATTTAATATAAATTCTCAAACCGTATGTTACTAACAAGTAATAATAGTAATAGTAAAATGTTAACTGTATACTATGCAATACAACTACATTAAACACAAAAAAAAAAAAAAAAATTGTACGTATATAGACTTTATACATACGACGTTTTCTACCAGAAAAAAAAATGATTTAATCGAAAAATCACAAGGTACATTTTTTAGTCCCTTTTTGATTTACTTTCTTACGGTATCGTTGCCAAAACTTTTTGAACTTTTGAGAAATGTTAATTTTGTTGAGTATTTTTCCTGTAATTCGGTTATAATTACACGTAGAGACTAGAAACATAGTAATAATACTTATATTGGACTTGCATAGACGTGGTAACATTTCCAAAATCATCGAACGAATTTTTTTTTCGCGTTTTGAAATCAAATTTAAACGAAATCGCAAAAAAAAATTACGGCACTTCAAATTATGAATTACCGAAATGCGCTCGGAATCGTCTTTCGTCAAGAGCAATGGTTTATCGTTGCTTACACAGATATAAATTAAATAACCTTATGTGTTTTACCTTCCCGACTTCTCACCTACAACAGCGGCCGTTCCCATCCCCAGTATCAGTACGATGATATTTTCTATCACGTAAGACGAAAATAGTTGGACGGTTGTACGAGTTTTTGAATTCATTAAGTGTTTTACTTATTATCTATATACATGTGTAATTGAACCTATTCTAGCTGACTGATCAAATATATCATGCTATGATAGCTAAAGACGTGAAATTTCCACAGTACCTTTGCATCACCATGCAGGGCCGTAAAGGTACATTAAGAAAGGATTTTAAAAATTTTTTCTGGTTAGGATCGTAATATATAAACAATTTTTCTTTAATATGTGTTACATTATTATCAGACACATACACACGGAAATAATGCCATTATTATTACAGCGATTAGCGACCATTGACCCTGGAGGGACTAAAACGCTTTTTTTGGAAAATTTCGTCTATATTTTTTTTATTATGAGCTCTTGTAGTTTTCATTTTTCATCCTGTGCGCGTCACGCAAATTTTACCCTGCAGACTACCGGGACGTTGATTCACGCGCGTGAATTATTGGAAAACACTAATATTGTTTTTCATACTTCGTATTTTACGTGATCACGCATTCACGTACGCATGATTGTAAGACACCGAGGTTTTAGAGCGACGCCGGTTGCGCGTGATGTCGGGCGTTATCGTGCGGCAACAAAATAGTCTCCGTTGATCCGCGGACGCGATACACCCGTTTCTTTAATTTTTTTTTCCCAGTGTCCCGGTGTATCGGGCAGAGTTTATAGTTATTCCATTTTCCAAGTAATTCGTTCAAGCCGAAATCGCTCAGTTGTAAACCAGGCTCGGCGTTTAGAGGGGGTATAGGGGCCGTGCCTCTCCTAGACATCAAACTACCCTATAATTAATAATTTCCATCAGAAATTTGTATAGAAGTTCAGAGTGTTAATAAATTATAGTCACGGCCACTGTGGATAGTTGTGCTATCACATTGGGCCTGTCAGTGGTGACATTGACTGACTGACATCTGGTCATGTTAATAAAAAGTATAATTTTTGGACCAAAATAATATTCGCCCCCTAGAAAACGAATCAAATCCGTCACTTTTATAAACGATAAAAATATACATATATATATATATATATATTTTGATACCGAATAGATGACTTTATCTCATTACGGTCTTGATTTATCGAAGATTGTGCATTACTCATCATTCGCCTTTGGTATCCACGAACAAGTAAAACTCCGGTCATGCGCAATACCATCTTAAAAAAATGTGGACCAAAATGTCATTGTTAATACAGAGTGGATCTACTGATGCAAGAAATGATACGATAACAATAAAATTGAGCCATAAAAAAAACATGAGCAAATTCTATTGTTACCGCACCATTGCTTATGACAACATTGTGAAGTAACTGTACTAAGTAAGCAATATTTGGAGGACTAAACATATATGTTAGAAAACGAATAAGTGGGTGGCAGAGATTCCCTAACCCCAATGCCCCGTTTTTGTTTTAAATTTGATATCCCCCGATGAATATCGTAAAAAAAAAAAAGAAATTGAATCCAGCATAAAGCGTACACTATACGAGATTGGACAGGCCACTTTTTCGAATCTCATTTCTTAATTTCCAAACATTTAATTTCAACTTTTCAATAAATCTCTAAAAAGAATAATAACTAAAATCAAATTGAAAAGGAGACCTGACCGATTTCGTCTATGTTTATGTAACGGGCAATGTGTACGGCAAATAAAAAAATGTATTTTAACGTAAAATGTGTGAATGCGCATCTATACTGTACGTATTGGTAATGAGTTTAACATTTTTTTTTTTTTTTTTATTATATATGAAATAAAATGTTATTTCAAAAGCAAAACAAATTGTAAATTTATATTAAATCAATCGCATTTGTTTTGATACGTTATTGATTATTTACTCTGACATTAGACGATATATTTTTTAAAAAATCAGGAGCTTATTAACTATTTATTTGTACGTCATGATTGCTTACTATTAAAAGACTTTAAATTTCATAATCTTCTTGGTTTTTTTACACGCGCAGTATTTCGTTTTATAATTCTACGTACAAGTGAAACGATCATATTCTTCGCTTTCTAAGTCTGAGAATTTTTTTTGTCCGCATAAATAATATAATAATAATTTACACATAATAAAAAAAATAAATAAATAAATAAATGCGTCGCGTGGAGTATTATGATAAGTATATTATACGAACTTATTTATTTACGGGTATTAACCATTTTAATAATTTTGTTTTTACTTTATTATTTTATTATTAAATAAACTGTTAAACATAATATTATTATACATTGACACATTTCTTATTAAAACAACTTATTTTTTTTGCGATTCACGTTACCCGTGCAGATCCACATTGCCAAGAATTCTTTGTCCGGTATTCCACATGGCCCCAAATCTATGTTCAGGAGTTTTTCTACATCGATCGGCCTGATTGAAGCTAAGAAATTGGTCTTAATGATATTGCTATTATACTGCACGGATCATATATTAGATACACGTGGACATACTCACGAGGGGAACGGAGAGATGTTGAGGATAATCCCCTCCACGACCTTTTTTTTTTTTTAGTTCAAAACGACAGGTATTGACGTATTGGTTTATCATTAATTTAGATTCTGAGTGTTACGAGCAATTTATTGATTATTATATATATATCTGCTTTTTTTTTTTTTTGTAAACAACTATTCCGCCAGAAATATCGCTCCAATCACAATGGCAATAGATATTTGTTGGTTTTATAAACAGTAATAGAGAAAATCCGAGAAAAAACGTAAAATAAAAGCGAACAAATTTATAGCTTTAACGATTATTTTAGGTTTTATTTTTGATTTTGATTTTCTACCACAAATTGTGCTCCTAATTTTAAAAATAATATCTTAGAAAATTTAGTATAGTTCGTGTATAATATAGTCATTAATTAATTTTCCGTGTTGTTTTCTTAATCTTTGGGGTTATCGGTTTCTTTATTTTTGGTTTTTTTTTTTTTTATTACAGTTCAAAATTTTTACAGAATACATATATTTTAAAATTTTCAAAACAATTTTACGATTTTTTTTTTCTATTCGTAAGCATTTGATACTGTCGAGTATTTTGTTTAATTTTTTTTTTTTTTTTGTAGGTAAGTACCTATATTATGTGGGTAAAATTGTTTGACCAAACATAAATCTTTGAACAGTTAATACGAAATTCATTCTAAATTGAACTTATTAGTCAAAAAAAAAAAAATATGAGCGTAGTGTAAGTAGTTTATTTTTTTTATAAATGTTTAAACAGAAAATTTTGACAAATATCGTAAAAACGATCTTTTTCAAGATTAAACAAATTAAAAATATTTAAGAAACACAATATAACGTAATTGTATATCTATAAGCAACGATTAACCATTGCTAACGAAAAAACGATTCTGAACGGAGTTCGGTTGATAGTATTGTTTATTTAACAATATTCATGTCATATCACGGTAAAATAATTACATATGCATTATGTATTTTCTTTAATAATATTTGTTTAATATTATACCTATTTTCCGGTTTTCCTACGTTTTATCCATTTATTGGAAATACTCCTGGGAATAGCAAAAAAAAAATGACCGCCCTAAAGTACCTACCCAGTCCGATTTCCATTCAGAAAAAATACTATCATCTGAAAATCGGAGAAAAATTTCCTACAGAAAAGTTGTCCGCGGACCAACCGATACATTCCTCGCTCCGTTCGGAATCTAAAATAGGGACATTCGGAAAAGGCCCTCGCTCGTCCAATAATACCTCGGACTCTGACTAGGGGCAGCCCCTAAATGCCATGGGCCCGTGGCTCATTGCCCGTCATCCCTGCATCCTACTGGTACGCCACTGATCGCGACACGACAAAAAAATCGCCCCGAATGTTATTTATTATAAATTGCGACGTAGAACCATATCCGTTTCGAAACGCTTTCCGTTTCGTTAACTGCTGCAGGTATATTATGATAATAATGTTACGTATTGCTGCAGGATTATATTGACGGGTACCGGATCATAACATCCGCAGGCTCGTGTACCGTGCCTAATGCATTGCGTAGAATTTCCGGAATTTCAAAGTTTCGTCGCGTATATTATGTACATATTATAATGCCGATAAAGTGCATATAATTGCGTGCGCTTATCGTGTTGTAGGCATATATAATGGGCGTGCATTATAATATAGTGGTGCAGTTTGTTTATATTGTTCGTGCGTCGGGGGGGCGATCGTACTCGGTCGTCGGCGGCGCGTGTTTAGGTCAAAGGATCGGGACTCGTGTAGTTTCTCGTCGCCTTTGCCGCCGCCGTTATCGCCTGAGCCATTTTAACATACAGGACGCACGTAGACGAGGGGTTACCTACATGTTTATTATAATATATTATAACACTGTCGTTCCGAACACCCTTTTGTACTCGGCCGCGGTTATGCCGAAACGAAAGTAAAATAATAGTTAAAACGCGAAAGCGTTGAGTTTTACAGTGATTAAAAAAAAAAAAAAAAACGTCGTCCGCTCCTATTAAATACCTATAATAATGGGTTCGCCCGAACGCCGTATATGAACCTACGCATTTTTTTTTTTTTTTACAGCACGATGTTTTTTTTTCTTTTTCATTATATATAACCTTTTATTAAAATTATAAATACTATTTTTAAACATACCGTACAGGTATTATATAGAAACGAAGAAAGTAAAAGAAAAAAAAATAAAACGATCAATAATGATATTTTGTCAACGACGCGTATATAATAATAATAATAGTATAACTCGTATATATGTTTATGGTTTTTAGTTTCTGTAACGTCAAAAGCTAATAATAATATTATAATTTAAATGTCGTTCGAAAATTGTCGACGTACCTATCTACTTTTATAATACACGGTGTATCAAAAGTCTTCATCCAATTTCAAAAATTTATATTAAAAATGAAGATATAAGGGTGAAATAAAGTAAAATATATTCTTAAAATAGTCAAGTTTTATTTAGTTTGATTACAAATGTCAATATGACCCACACCGGCAAAAAAAAAAAAAATGAACCGTAAACTTTTTCCCTAGATGTTGCGCAGAAAACATTGATTTTTGGTGAATCTCTTTGATGCTCAACAGTTGCGTGTGATTGCTCTAAAAACCCAAATCCTGACATTATGGCGGTTGACATTTCCACTTACATGAAATGTGGCTTCGTCCGAAAAAACAATGCGTGAGACAAACGATTCATTTTCTCCTCGTTTTTCGTATATGAAATCGCAAAAATCAATCATTTTTCGTTTGTCTTCCGGCAGGAGGACTTGTAACGGTTGTAGTAGTCGGTACGCCTTCAATGTCAAACGACGCCGTAGAACACGCCAAACGGTCGAATGTGGGAGATCTAGGCCTGCACGACGTGTAGACATCTGTGGACTCCGAACGAAACTTTGTCGAACACGCTCGGTGTTTTCGTCAGAGGCACGAGGTCGACCTGAGCGTTTCTGTGCACACGGACGACCACTTTCTTGGGACGTTTGGTGCCAACGTCGAATGCTTTGAGCAGTAGGAGCTTCAGTTCCGTAAGTTCTTCGAAAATCACGTTGAACGGTTATTGCCGACTCGCGCTTATTGAAACGTGGGACGCAAAACGCTTTCTGTTGCGGAGTCGCCATAACGAAACAATCGAACGGCTCCTTGTTCACTAACCATTACGGTGTCAAATTTAACAACTAGATAACGTAAAATAAACCTGGTTATCTAACCTTTCCAATAATACATTGGTCATTAGCCTGCGATTAACCGTTGCCGAACTATATCAGTTCGTAATCGGATGAAGACTTTTGAAACACCGTGTATACTAGCCGTCCCGCCCGGCGTTGCCCGACCCAAAAAAATGTGTAATTTCCCCATAGATTTCTTGTTTCAATCTCCGTCACTATTACTGCAATTAACCATTGTTGCGCTTAAATTTTTACAAATGCATTTACTTTGTTCTTATTTTCAAACATATGTAAATTAGTTGTATGAATGTCAAGTGGTGTATTGGAGGCGTGTACCCGCTTGTATCCAGATTCAAATCAAACAATTGATTGAAAAAATTGGTTACTTCATTAAAAAAATATTATTAAATTATTATTTATCGCTTATCATATCAACCTAGTAACCACGATTGTGGTTGTGGATAGGGTCTTAACCGTGGTACTGGGTACGAATTAATCTCTGATATGGGATACCAAGTAATAAACACGATATGCATATAATATTATGTAGCATTTTTCCTAGAGTGTATTTTTAAATTAATCATAATTCGTATCGGGTAATTTATTTAGTCATCGTTGGTTTGTTGATTGTTCCATATTTCTATGTTCGTACTTCACTACTTTATTTAGTAGAATTAAATTATAAAAAAAAAAAATAATAATTTTTCAAGATTTAAAATAGATAAAATAAGTATTTATTAATGAGGACAAATTTTGCATTATAACTTATAACTAATTGGAATACAAATAGCACAAAAAAAATATAAAAATATGAATATAAGAAAAAACCGAAAATGTCCTTAGAAAACTACATAATATCAAAACAATGTTTTAAATGAGTTCCCCTCAAAAAAATATTTCCATTCAAAAATATTGAATTAAGATTTAATTTTTGCATTTATGATAGGTTATTTTTACAATTAAAAATTTTAATTACATTCTAAAATCAGTACAATCAGTATAAAATTTGACTTTAGTGTTATTTAAAGATTTATTGTATACACAGATGTAGTAAAATAGTACAAAATAGCACAAATTATGGATATTTTGTAAAACAAAAACAAAACATCACACGACTTATGGAGGGGGAGGGCGATCGTCCTCTAATCAGGGGGGAGTAGGGGGACTCAGGGACGCGCCTAGCATGTACCAGTTTTTTTTTTCACGACTACACCACAGAATTGGTTGCTAAGCAATAGAAAATATCTAATGAATTTTTTTTTTTATCTAACCAAAACTACTGCAGATTAGGTCGTCTGCTACTTCTACAGGTGAGACCGATGTTTTCAATAGCTTAAACCTTCTCCGCGATATACTGCGTATCATTTAAAGAAAAAAAAAACCGCATAGCAATTGAATAAGTAGTTTCGGAGATTACCCCGGACATCAAAATGACAATTTCTTTTAAAAATTATAATTGAAAAGAAAACATAGATACCATATATATGTTATGACTATAGATACCAACCCAGTACGGCACATAGTTGTTTTTTTTTTTTTTCATTTTATCCGTTTTACTTAGGTATATTGGTATATAATTTTACACGTTTATTTTAATTAAGAACTAATTAATTACTGAGTTTATCGGACTAAATGTATGTCTAAAACTTGCTCTGTGATGATTTCTTAAATTCAAAAAAAAACTGCACGATGATTGAATAAGTAATTTCGAAACCAACCCGTAACAAAGATTTCCATTTTCGCTTTTATATATATAGATAATATATTTTATAATTTTTTACAACAGTACAACAGTTTTTTAACTACAGTATTAATTTCAACTTTTTACTCGGTTTTTATACCCTTTGTAGGTTTTTTATCAACACAGATCATTCATTTTTTTTGTTTTTTTTTTTTTACATAAACGTAATATTATTGAATAACGAGTTCATTTTAGATTCTGAGTGAAGCAAAGAAGCTTATGGTTTTACAACGATATTTATTTTTTGTTAATTTTTTTTTTTATAACTTGTCTACCTGCAATTTCGCAATGATAACACTTTTTAAAAAGGAAATCTTACTGGAGAGGTATTTTAGAGAAGTTATTTTTCGATTTTCCCAAGAGTTTTCTCTAGAAATATGATAAAAACCGGAAAATATATATTATTAAAGAAAATATATCATACTTATTTAATTATTTTACCATAATATTACATATATATATTGTTGAAAAAGCAATACTATCAACCGAACTCCACTCAGAATCGTTTTTTCATATCCAAATATTGCTTACTGATATATATTAAATTCCCGTCTATATCCTACCTTCCTAACTTTCCACCTTCAACAGTGGCTGTACTCGTCCTCATTATCCTAGGACAGCTTTTTAATTATACAGCGCATTAATATGTCGATTTTAATTTCTTATAATTTTACAAAAAAGTATATTTAACATTTGGCTTTTGAAGTAAGTATATAGGTACCTTCAAAATTAAGGTGATATATGTAGGATAGGTATATATCTACTCTGAGATCTGTACCGATATTTATCGTCGTATGGTCCTTAAAAAGATTGTTTTGTGTTGATATTTTTTTGTTAAAGTCGATTTGTATTACTGGGTATCAGAGTCTATAGTTAATTGTATTTGTTATGCTAGTAGTTTGTTTTTGGTCAAGTTTTAGCTGTCAGCGAGATACTATACAGTACACGCAGAGAGGTTCGGAAACAGACGGACATTATCTTTCAATCTGTGTGAGTATTAAATTATTAAACCAATATATTTATTATATTTTTTATTTTGATTTTTTTTTTTCTGTTGTGTTACGTTAGATTTATATTTTAACCCGTATTAGAATTTTAGATATTGAGCGGAACGAGGAATGTATTGGTTTTACAATCATGTTTATTTTTTTTTCTATGGACAAATTTTCTAACAGAAATTTCGCTCCGATTTTTAAGTGTAACACTTTTTCTGAAAGGAAATCTGAATGGGTTAGTACTTAAGGAGGTCATTTTTTGATATTCCCATAATAAATAGGAAAAAAACATGGGAAAAGCCGAGAAAAATCAAAGGAAAACGGGCAAATATACGAAATGTTATTATGTTTTCAATTTTTTGTTTATTGTTTTGTCTTGTACCTATTAATAATGATTTATTACCATCCATACGAAATCAAACTACAAAAATAGTATATTTACTTAAACTATTACGAACCTACTTATATAGTTTGATATTCCCGGAATAAACCGTTTGAATTTAAAATATTGATTATTAATATTTTCAAAAAAAAAACTTTACATACTTTGCACAATGGGTGAGCCATTGTTGTAGGTGAGAAAATGTGAAGTTAGAGGGGAATTCAATGTATATCTGTACGGAAAGATTAACTATTGCTAACGAAAAACGATTCTGAGCGGAGTTCCGTTAGTATTTTAATAGTGTTGCTTTATAAACTCGTTAACATTTTTCAATTACTTTGACTCGACTTGACCCCCTCCGAAACGTCTTCGATATTTTAAAAACTTTCGAAATATTTATTTATTTTCACACCGACACAAATACATAGTTCGATATCAAACGGTTAAAATTCCAATTCAATCGACCAACTGCACCTCGACAATATATCATTATAGCTGCCGATAATATATTGGTGTCGATGGACTAAAGCGTACGATTAAAATTCCAATATTCATGTCGTGTTTCGGACGCCCCATCCCGCCTCTTAAAAAAATGTTTGTATACGGCCTTACCGTATGACCGTAAAACGATCTCTTCTTCGCAAGGTCCGTCTGATGCCTATTTATAATAATTCCACGGTGTTTTGTTTACAGGGCGTCTATCAAATTTCACTTTTTCAGTAAGAAAAAAAAAAACAGTAAAACAGCTTTTAATAATGTTTATCGCGGAAAACAATAAAAATACAATATAATACCTTGTACACGAAGTGAACATGCATTGGATATGGTATACGTCATTTTAACAAATCATTGTTGATTCAATTACATTTTAAAAGGGCACCTGGATATATTTTAGTCGACATTATACCGACTCGATTTTCCGTATTTAAATTTACCAATTTACGCTCGTAATTTTTCTGATTTTCTCGATATCAAAAACGTATTTTTTGATCGGTATACGACCTTTGAAAAAAATACCGTCATTTACAATTATTACAATTTATTTATTTCGCAATCGAGCCTCATCGCGTAATTAAAATCATGCGCCACCATATCGTACGGTTGCGTTTTATTCTCGTTATTCGTTAAATTGCTGTTAAAAAGACAACGTTATATACATATATATATATATATATATATAAAAAATTGTTTTAACCATACAAATATTGCGATGTTGCAATAACATTGTGACGGCCGTTGTGTCGATGGTATACGATTCGATAATGATTGTGTACGCGTTGGCAATCCAATAAGAAAAAGGGGGAAAAAAAAAAATGCGGCGTTTGGTGTTTAAATCGCTGAAATCTATGCGAAACGATTGTCGCCCGTACACGTATAATAGCAATAGTAATAATGCACTATTATTTTAATTGTCGCGCTTAAATAATATACGAAAATATTACGACGGTAAATCGGTATAGTATTTCCCGTTGTTTGAGAATATACCTAAGTACGTAATAATAATATTGCGTTCAGATAAGAGTCACGTCAGCTGGTTTTTTTTTTTTTTTTCTTCTCGAATAATTAATTCATTAAACACAATCGTTTTAATCGGTTCACTTATTGTATTATCGTATTGTTGTAATGATCGAAAAATTTTGTATATATAATAAATAAAATTACAGTATGTTACAGCAATAATTAAACGCGTTGTTTATACAATACGAATACGATAATAATTACGATATGCGGCGGACGTATTTTTTTTTTATTTTCATTATTATTTTCACCAACTGACGTCGTTATTGGTCATCGTATATAATATTACGACTTGCGAGTTGTATTATACAATATA